ACAGGTGCAGCAACAGTGAGTTCGGCTCTCCAGGAGCAGCAAGGGGAGTTCTGGCCAAACTATCTATGGCACTGATGGTGTTGGTGCTGGTGGTGGCAAGAACGCCAATTCTGCCATTCATGTTGGTCAGAGTTTGCTCAACATTGCCGATCTGTCCTTTTACGGTAGACATATCAGCTCTCACAGTAGAAAGTATTTCCATAAGCTGCTGATTGGTAATCTCAACAGGACGAAGGGCAATTGCGCGTTCACGTCTTGTGTTAGTCATTGTCTACAGAATATAATAAAATGAAAGGTTATAATGATTAGTTTCAGATTATATTATTATTATTGCTGTCATTCTACAATTAAATTTATGTAAATTTAATTAAAAATAAATCGTATCAAGTTTACATACTTGAATTGTTAGAACAAGTGTATTGATTTGGGAGTATAAGTGTAGTAAGTAACAAGAGAGTAAGAGCAAGGGAAAGTGTATTATATGAAAGGTATGATTATTATATATATTCAAAATATATTTGATATACAAATCTCTATTAATACTTCTTGCAATGACTGGGATGTAAATCAGTTTTCATATTGCTTTGGGACTTGATGAAATCATTTTAGTCTTTTGTTTTAAACACACTTTTTTCTTTTTTTTTAAGATTTTTTTTTTACTTTTTTTATTCGTTTTTTGTTATTTCCCTCTTTTCTCTCTCTTTTCAATTCTTGTCATATTTGCAAATTTTTCTGGTAAGATTGTTTTTGGTTCAAAATACTTCTTTACAAAGAACAAAAGAATTAATTTTTTTGTCTGTCATAGGTATTCTCTCTGTTTCTCTCTCTTCACTCTTTACACTTGCAAGGTTTTATGGTAAGGCACTTTCTTTGTTTTAAAAGAAATATATACTTCTTTATGTATAACTAAAAAATAACAATATATTTTAATGTCATAGAAACTCACTCTTCGTCTCATTCTGATGCGCCATCTTCACAACAGTCATCCGGATTAGCCAGAGTTAGTAAATATACTTTATGCCATCATTCCATACAATTATTCTGACTTTTTTCTTTCTTTAATATAGGCCACATCGCCAAAAATACTCTCTATAATCAAACACGGATATTGACACGGTAATATTCTATTTTATTTTAATCTATTTCTTTTTAATATTTATATAACTGAATATAATTTCTATTATAGATGAACATCCCTCTTACGAACGTGCCATTCCTCAAGAACTTCCATCCCATGCTACTGTCATTTCCATGGTAAGCCTTTTATTTACTTCTATACATACAATAATATTATTTATACTGTATATTAATGTATATTCTCTACTAGAGACGATATTACTGCTTTACAGATAATATCTTGGTCTGCAAAGAAATCTTTTGTCTTTGGTATGTAAATCAATTATTCTATCACGCAATTCACAAAAATTAATTCTTTCCTATTGTTTTATAGTCAAAGAAATCATAATCCCGTGCTTTACTGTAAATGTTTTATTTCTTTGTCCATTTGTACTGGGTACTTCCGATGTAAGTATTAATTAGTCCATAAAATTTGCAGTATAAAACACGCACGCACTCCCATCACTAATGTTTTATCTATTCTCAAAGAGTACTGCTCTTACCCCTAAAAAAAGGTAACGAGCACCTCATTTTCTTCAGGTATTTGTTTTTTGTAGAAAATTTTTCATCCCAAATATAACAAGCTTGCCGAGCAAGAAGTAGCTGAGGATATAGAATAGCTTTATTACATTTGAAACCTAGAAACATTCTATTCTTTCCAATAAAAATAAAAGCGTAAACCATTACCAACCTAACAAGAATGGGAAACCAGATAAATAAAGAACATATTACTGGTCCATAATTTTAAAGACATGTTTTTATGCTGTTGATGATTGGAGGTTTTAAAGAACTGTCAGTATAGGTGGTCAGTAAAGGTGGTCAGTAAAGGTGAGGTGTAGTACAAATAAACCATTGGAGCAATATACATGATGTAATCCGTCTTTGACCTTTCCTGTTCTGTGTCAAGAATACCGAGATAAATCCATAGTTTTAAATATTTTTATTTATTTATTAAGCATAACAAGTATATCAAAAGTGCTATCAAACCTTACTTGCGGAACCCCCCATCTACATATACTGTAGTGTTTGTAAGTCTCGCACATACAGTGCTAGATGACCTTAAAACCTAGTGGAAAAAAATATCAACTATGATATATCACGTTATTCCAGTACCGTTTGCCCATATATACACGTCAGTATTTTTCTACTTTTTTCCAGTGTACTGTAATTATGACAGCTCAGTAAGCACTGAGTTAATATGAGGACACTGCAATTAGATTAAATTATAAACATAGCAGTACCAGCTCTCTAATATCTAAATGAACTCAGACTTAAGAAATTAAGATGTGACTGACAAAGCAGATCGTGTTTTGATATAAAAAGGACAACTTTTTATTCTTTAATAAAGACAACCTATATACAGTCTCAAAGTATTCTTATATACGTCTCAATCTTTTTACTGTTGATTTTATTTTATAAAACTTCACATTTTTTACTTTGAATTCTATAATGTCTTCCCAACACTCTGCTGCCAACTCTCTTCCTCATGAAGAACAAAGCCCTCTTACTGAAGTTGGTATTCCCTCTCCCATTCTGAGTGAACAGACACATCTCACGAAAATTGGTGACATTTCTCCTCTTCTTGGATCCACCGCTCTTTCCATCAATGGTAATATTGAAATGATATACACTAGTCTTGATTCCTTGCCACCTCTTTCAGTTGTTGGTTCTGTTCCTCCTACTCTTGTGCCTACCGTCCCATCAGCCATTAATAGCAACACTAGTAGTTCCATCACTTTGGAAATGTTGTTAGCTTCTGCGAAGAAAGACCTTAGCATAAAGAAGAACAACTTTTATGTGGCTTATGCTAACTATGTGTCTCTTTCGAAGGTCAACCCCATGTCAGACGCGGTCAGACATGCTTCTTCCATTAAGAGGGAAGCTCAAGAATTGTTTGAGGATGCCCAGAAGACCCTCAAGGTGCTTGAAAAAGCCAACGCCCCTCCTGCTATTCTTGAAGACAAGAAGAGCATGGTAGTCCCTAGCAACTTACCTTTCTTGCAGCTCTGCACAGAAACCAGGGTGAAGCACAATCGTGACGTGTTTGACTCTGTGTACGATTTTTGCCAAGAATTCACTATGGTCTTGGAGTCTTATTCCCTGTCCTTGGACTTGTGCTGGAAGCGTCTGCTTCCCATATGCCTGAACAAGGAGGAAAGATCCTGGTTTGAAGACAAACTAAAGGGAAAGGCATACAAGTGGAAGAAGACAGAAGGGATTCTGCTGGATCACTATGATACTCCTTTCAGAAGATTTCTGAACATGGGTCGTGTGTGGAAAATGATGCAGAAGAAAGGTGAGTCAGTTCGTGCGTTTGGAGCTAAATTTCAAACAGCTAGAAGACAAGCGTCCTTGGAGAATGGTATCCAGATAGTTCTTTGTTTCTGGTGGAACTTGCACCCGGAAGTCCGGGAAGCAAGCCTGATCCCATTGTCAGCCAACTATGGCACCAAACTGCCCTCCAAAGTGGAGAATATAATCTCATTAGTCAGTGTAGCCACTAGCAATTCCACGGCCCTACTCAACCAACCTGCAGAGTGTGGCACCCCTGCCAAATGGAAGTCATTTGCCGATGCCTATAGTATCTCCTCTTCGATAAGTCACAAGGGAAAGAAGAGAGCTATTGCCAGGGACAACGATCCTAAGCACGCTAAGAAGTCTTGGAATTTTAAGAAGGCAATCAAAGATAATGTTTGCTTTTCTTGCAAAGGTGCTTGAGAGAAGGGTCACACCTGTCCTGAAAGGGATAATTACTTGACAAAGGTGTCAAGAATGGCTGTGCGCTCACCTGCTGATAGATCAGTAGCTTCCCCCCCTGCTTGTGGTGGTTTCCCCCCTTCTCGTGATAGTCATTTCTCTGTTCGTGGCAACTCTTCCCCTGCTAGTAGTTCCTCAACGTCGTGGTCAATGGACCAAGATAACACAAGTGCTTTGGCCAAGATGATCTTGAATTGTAAGGACAATTAAAGACATGGTCATTAAAAAAGATTTTAAGAACATGAGCACTAATATTACCTTCCCCATTCTGGCAAATAATTCTATTAGAACCATTTCCTTGTTGGACTGTGGTGCCACATTCAGTTCTGTGAATAAGAATTTTTGTTTACAGAATAAAATATCTATTAATTATGTAAATCACATCAACAAAGATTTAGTGAACAATTCCAATGTTCATAAGTATTTTATTCGTTTGACTGATAGCAATACACATATTAAAAGAATTGGCACTTGTGTGTATTGGTACTGATTATATGTCCACTCTGGGTATTGATATTTATGGTTTACCTCTATCATATGATGATGCTGATTCAAGTGAAGAACGTAGAGAAGCTGATAGATGCTTCAATAACAAAAGTGATCTTCTTGAATCCCTAGAGAGAGAATGAACAAAAAGAAAATAATCCAGCTGTAGGTCCAGAACAGTTTAAAGACGCGATGAATTATATCAGACCGTTCATTAAGGACAATCAAGATATTCCAAAGGGTTTGTTTTGTACTATACCTGAAAGTATTGTGTGTTTGGACACACTAGAAAATGCTACAGCCTTCCGAAGCCCATATCCTATTCCATATAAGATGCAAAGTGTGGTGGATGAACAGGTAAAAGAATGGCTGGACAATAGTATAATTGAAAGAGTGTCTGCAAACACACAATGGAATACGCCTTTGACTGTTGTCAAGAAGACGAATGGTAAAGGAGAAATTACTGGATATCGCGTTTGTCATGATCCCAGATTAATTAATTGCCTGTTGAAGTCAATTGATCGTATGCCTTTGCCATTGATTGGTAAATTGTTTGAAGATTTAAAGGGTGCGAATATTTATTCCACTCTAGATTTGAAATTTGCGTTTAATTCTTTGAGGTTGAATCCAAAGGACACACACAAACTTAGTTTCACATGGCGTGGTGTACAGTACACACCTATTGGTACAGTGCTTGGTATAAAGCATATCAGTTCACAATTTCAAAGAACTATGAGTATAGCTTTGGAAGGACTATCTTTTGTACGGTTTTTTGTGGATGACATTGTTTGCGCAAGCAAAACGTTCGAGGAACACAAGGAACACTTGAAGCAAGTCATTGAGAGATTAACAAGGGTCAATTTGAAGTTGAATCCGAAAAAATGTCATTTCTTTCAGAAAGAAATTTATTTGCTTGGTTTTCATATTTCACCTGAAGGAATTATAATGGACCGCAGAAAACTTGTTAATGTTCTTGAATTTCCTCAACCAAAGACGGGTAAAGATATCCAAAGTTATTGTGGGTTGATCAACTATTTTAGAACGTTGATTCCAAATGTATCTTCCATTATGTCGCCACTAGATTCATTGAGAAATGAAAAATCGATTACCCATTTATGGACAGATAAGCATCAAACTGCATTTAATAACTTGAAAAAAGCACTTTTGAGTGATCTGGTGTTGTCGTACCCAGATATGAACTCTCCTTTTAGTATCAGCTGTGATGCATCTCTTACTGGTATTGGTGCAGTGTTGTATCAAGTCAAGGATGGCAAGAAAAAATATATTTTTTTGTGGCTAAGAGCTTATCCCAAAGTGAAAGAAAATATTCTGCGACCAAAAGAGAATTACTAGCGTTAGTATTTGCACTCAAGCGTTTTCACAAGTATGTCTATGGTTCTCACTTTACCTTGTACACGGATCACAAGGCATTGACATATATTCACACCCAACGTGTTGCAAATCTGATGATGATTGCATGGATGGACACGATTTTACAGTATGACTTTAAGATCGTTCATTTGCCTGGTGTTTCGAATGTGCTTCCTGATGTGTTGTCACGTTTGTCTGAAGAGACTGAAACATTATCAAATGAACTGGGTGGGGATAGTATGGTTAGATCCATCATGAGAAATAGTGCTGTCACTATGGAACCGCTACCAGACATCTTGAGTGGTGAGTACTTTACTCCTCCCACAAAAAATGAAAGGAATGAGTTATTAGTTGAAAAACATTTGAAAGATCATTTTGGTGTAGAAGCTATACTACATGCCTTAAAGAGAAAAGGTATTTATTGGACTAACTTGAAGAGTCAAGCAAGTGATCTTATACAATCGCGTATACAGTGTCAATGTCACAATATCACAAGAAAAGGATATAACCCTTTAAGACCAGTGACTGCAACACTTCCTGGTGACAGTTGGGGAGTAGACCTGGCTGGGCCATTTACAACGTCGACTAGAAGAAATGAGTACTTGTTGGTGATGATAGACATCACAAGCAAATTTTACGTATTGTGTGCCATACCTGATAAAAGGGCATTTACAATTGCATTACAAGTACTGGATGTCATTAGTACATGGGGTCCAATGAGAAAGTTGCAGAGTGATTGTGGATGGGAGTTTGTGAACTCGCTGATGACTTGTATAAAAGAGAATGTTAGTTTTGAACATGCGTTGATTTCGCAGTACCATCCTAGAGCTAATGGTGCGAGTGAAAGAGCTTTCCAGTCGGCAGTGAACACTATTAAAAAACAAATAGTTGGTAATGTTGCTGATTGGGATCAGAAGGTACCATCCGCACAGTTGTTTTTGAATAGCAAATATAATGCTAGGACTAAGAGTACGCCATTCTCATTAATGTTTGGAAGGAATCCAAATGACTTCATCGATTTTAGTAAAGAGAAGGATAGTGCAACTGCTAAACAGATTCAGAAAGAATTGCAAGAAAAAATTAAAAGAATGACTGAGATAGTCTACCCTGCCGTGTTTGAACACGTAAAGCACGTCACACAAAAGCAAAAAGAACGCTTTGACACGAGTCACAAAATGATAGATCTGGTTCCAGGAACTATAGTTATGATTTTGGTGACAGAAAAACAGAATAAATTAGATCCAAAGTATAAGGGATTTTATACTGTTGTTCAAAAGGCTGCTGCCAATACTTATGTATTGAAAAATGAAAATGGATTTTTAGAACCAAGGAATTACTCTCCTTCTTTATTAAAAAAAGTGTCCAATAAGATATTAGAGCAAAAGAATGATTTTTTTGAAGTCGAAGCAATTATTGGTCATAAGAAAGATGATATGAACAATTATTTGTATAGATGCAAATGGTTGGACTATGATGAGTCTCATGATACCTGAGAGCCAGAGGACCACTTTACTGATCCTAAATTTATTAAGGAATACTGGCAAAGAATTGGGGAAGCACCAGAAAGTATCAAAGACATCAACAAAGCCAATAAAAGATTATTGAAGGATATGAAAGTCGTAAATTCCATACCCAAAGAAAAGTCAGGTATAAAAAGAAAGAACTATGCAAAGACAGCTTTGCAAAAGAAGAAACGCAGTAAGGTCTAAATAAAGAGTTATTTGAGCACCACAGTACTCGTATATATATAAAAAATGCATAAAGTACTTGAATGGTATTTAATTAATACCTGGGTAGGAATAATGTGGTGATCCAGACACTTGGTTGTTGGATTTATTACATCTAAGAACATATTCCTATTATTATAGTAAAACAGCTATTATTACAAGAACAAATGAATAATTTATTTATTTTACTTATGGTAAATCAATAAGACCAATAATTAATTACAGTAAGTACTGTAATTATGACAGCTCAGTAAGCACTGAGTTAATATGAGGACACTGCAATTAGATTAAATTATAAACATAGCAGTACCAACTCTCTAATATCTAAATGAACTCAGACTTAAAAAATTAAGATGTGACTGACAAAGTGTTATATTTTTAGAAAAGAAAGAAAAACAAAGTGCAGACGAGAAGTACAGTGAGACTCTGTTTATTGATGAAAAGAGAGATGATCTTCTATTGCTATTTGCTATGTGAGTTTATATAGACATTGCGTGTGTATTTAGGATAATGATATGAGTATATCATGTGATGTCTGTTTTCTTATATCATAGATAATATATTGTTAAGTTATTACCCACGCTCTTGTTTGAGTGATTAGTGATGTTGACTAAGGTGTGTGACCTTGTTATCGGTATATTCTTTATTTAATGATAGTGTGAGAAATAATGTATAATTGATACTGGTCGCTTATTCAATATGTCTTTGTCTTATTGTCTGTGCGCTCTATTTGAATCTACGATTATGTTGGATACAATACAAAGCAGATCATGTTTTGATATAAAAAGAACAACTTTTTATTCTTTAATAAAGACAACCTATATACAGTCTCAAAGTATTCTTATATACGTCTCAATCTTTTTACTGTTGATTTTATTTTATAAAACTTCACATAAACGAATCAACTTGGAATTAATATTATTTTTATTATATATTCTTACAAGCATAATTATCTTCATAATTATGACTTAATAATTATTTTATTTTATTTGTACTTAATGATAGTAAAGAACAAATCACATTTAATAAATTGTTGATTATACAACTTTTATTATATTTTTTTTTATAATTTTATTTATTTAATTATTCAACAAGTCAATTGCAAAACTATAAATATCGCAATACTTGCATTTATTAAACATTGATTTTTTTCATCTTATTTTCTGATAATAAGTTCTCTTAATATTTAACTGTTGATATTTTACTTGTTTGATTATCCAAGTATATTGAGTCAAGTTTATCGAGATTGATCAATAGTACTGTTTTTTTTCTCTTATTTTTCTCTTATTGATTTTATTATTTTTAATTCTACATTCTCTTTTGAGTCTGTCTTTTTCTCTCTTGTGGAAAAGAGAGGTTATTTCACATCTACGAACCCATTCAAACCTCAAAAACCATGATAATATTACCTGTCAACATTTACTATAAATACAAGCACCACACGCATCACCGTATCATGCATGTTGTAGACAATTCTGGCTGTCGCCAATTTCTGGTGATAGATACCAGACAGTGGGTTTCTTTAGTAGTTTGGTCTGATGGTGAGCTGTGACGGGTGATACCAGACTTATGGACATTGACATCAATGGTGAGTTGACCAAGTGACATGTTGCAAGGGACAGGAGTGGTCCCCCCAGATTTCTTGAGAAATCTTGTTTCCAATTATTGTATCCAACATAATTGTAGATTTAAATTAAAAGTACAGACACTCAATAAATACGTACATTGAGTTACCAACAACTAGTAATGATACTAAAAGATATATCTTCCATTATACAAGGAAATTATGTAAAGAACATACTAAGACAAATACTAAGACTCTAGTCAATATCACTAAAAATATAAGAGCTAAATCATAGAAGATAATAGTAGAGAAACAGACATTACATGATATTATCATATCATCACCAAGCTAAATACAATGTCTATATAAACGCACAACACTAATAGCAATAGAACATCATCTCCTTTCTGATTCTTTCACTTCTTCTAATAAAACAAAGTCTTACCATACTCTTGTCTGCACTTGTTTTATTTTATATCTTATTTTTACCTCATACATAACACCAATACCTCTTATACCTAAACCTCCAATTTTATTCCATCTCTTAAATAATTAAAATACTCATCTATATCGTCACCTCAGAAACACTCATCACCTACAAAAAATTATACTTCTGTTGTAAATGAATATTGACTACTGCTGTAATTGAGAATAAGTCTGAAGGAAATAATATAAGGCCTCAGCTATTCCAGTCAAAGATGTCTACCAATTACTTTATTATTTAACACACAGGTTAAGTATGCATAATAGTGATTATATTTCATATGATGATATCATCGTAATATGAGATATATCAGTGTATTATTATAAGCATAATTATAACTCATAAATACATTTACTTTTGATGTTAATACTTTATTGGGACTACACACATTTATATAATTAATCATACATTAATTATCCCAAGATCACGTTGCTCTGATTAAGACTTAGATAGGATCGATTACCTGACCCCAGTCATATAATTTTCCCAATCCAAAATAATATAAATAGCAGTAGTAGTTCAGTGTAGAAACCTTGTTGAACTTTGATACAAAATCTTTTCTCAATAAACAAAACCTACACAAGCTCTTATAAATCTTTGTTTCTAATCTCAAATCTTCAATTCTTCCTCTTAAAAACTTCTTCAACTTCAACTACCACAATAACTTCTTTCCCTTAATTTTATATACTTCTTTATTGCCAATATTTATTTACAATATTTTTTATTACATTTTTATTAGACTTCATTATTATATTATTATTATATTTTTTTACTTTACTTAACTACATTGTTATTATATTATTACTTTACTTCTATTCTAACTCACTATATTTTTACTTTACCTTTATGCAGTTACTATATTTTTACTATACTTTTATTTTATTCTCTTTATATTTTTCTACTCTACCTCTACTATCAACACCAGTTACATGTAGTAAAATTTATCACTTGACTTTCTTTTCTTTACCTCAAAAAAATATTTTAACCAAAAAAATTTTGTTTATAAAAGAAACAATCTTTTTAATCAATAAAATCATTATTCTACCCTTGATCTTATTTTATTTTGTTCATTATTATCATTATTCTTCATTCATATACAGTGTTCTTGTTCTTTAGTGTTGTCTGTCGATCTTGATATACTTCATTTCTCTGTTTTCTCTTTTTTGCCTTTCTTAAACTTTGTTGTTGTCACAATTTCTATTTTTATTTTCTCTCTATTTTTTCTACTTGTTTGTCACCAATTTCTATTCTGTCAAATTACCTATTCTTTTCGATTATTACTGTATTCTTCTTCTTGTATTTTGTAATTTACATTACATTTATTTGCCAAGTGATATTGTTACAATTCACAACAAACACATCACGCATCAATATTTGTGTCACGTGTATTGTAACCAAGTCCAGCGTTTGGTTATGTCATGGTGTCTGGTACTGGAAGGTCAGTCTGCTAGGTGTGTTTGTCTGGCAGTTTGTTATGATGTGTTGTCCCGGTTATGAGAGGCTGACATCAACAGTTTATTGATGTGATGCTGTGCCCTTGGTGGTAAGAGGAGAATTTTTCTGTTCTCTGTTCCTTGTATATACAATACTTTTTCCTTTTCCTTTGTTAACATATTTGTCTATATTATACTCATTTGAAATCATGATCCCCCATGCTAGTAACATTCCTCTTCTACAATGTACATAATTCATCTTGCCAACATTTCCGCACAATATCAGTACTTTCATTATTATATTTTTACTGTATCTTTATTCATATATTTTATCCTTGCCATATCAATTATTTATCATTCTATTTTTACTATCTTTATTGTTCCAAACTTCTATTATCGATTTTAAATCTTGTTGACTATAAAAAGAGAAGCAAATTCAACTTAATGAAATTATTTAATTCACTATCTTTTTCTTGTTTTCTTCTCTTTGTGGTTTATACTATCTTGCGATATAATATATTTGCTTCTTGGTTTTAGAAAGATTGTTTGTCAGTTTTGGTCTTCTCATTGGTTATTACTTTTCTGCTTTATTATTCTATTTTCATATACTTTTCTCTCTCTTGCTTTTAACAACAATTCTATTGGTTGTTCTCTCTTTTCTTACCTGTCAACTATTGCTGCTTACCACCTTTTACTGTATTTGTCTTCTGTTCTATTCAATAATTATTGTATTTTATATGCCAAGTGATCCATTACAATCTACAACAAACCTAACAGATCACGCATCATTTGAACTACGTGTTGTAATAAAACGTAGCATTAATTAGTTTATGGTGATAGGCACTTGACGTTAGGTCTCTTCAGTGGTTTGGTCTGGCAGTTAGCTGTAATAGGGAATTCACTTATTTTTTCCTTCAACGAGTCTTAATTCTATGGGGGTCTGCTACTTTTTCTCTCTACAAAATTGAATTGAAAATAGAATATAAAGACTGCAACAGTCTTTACTTTTGTTTTTTTTTGTATTTTCAGATCTTACTTTTGTCTTCTCTTTAGAGAATCATACATTTTTTCTTAGCATTTTTAATCTTTTTTTCAAAATATATTCTAATAAATAATATTGTTTTTTTATTATCTTTGTGTGTTTAAGTTTCTAAAGAGTGACAGGTTCATACTTTGAATGAGATCCAACTTCTTTTGTACTTCTTCTAACATGCTGTTCATCAAATCTACTTTTCCAATGTCAACTCCTGACATATTCAGCATTACTTCAGTATCTTCTCTTTAATGATGAAGTGTTGATACACTTGCCATAAGTTGCTGTCAAGAATATAACATATTCTGACCACTTCTCTTACTTTTATTCTCCACGCATTTCTTTTCCTTTACATTTCTTTTCTCATCTACTGCTACTGACACCTCAGGTAATTGTAATTGCAAGCGATATTGATCTTGTTGCAAAAAGTAAACACAGTCAAGACTGGCAAATCTTTTCAACAAATAGGTGTTCTTGCAAGAAATTTGTGACGTCAAAAAGCTTGGGTAAGAGCATGTTTGAATCAAGTTATTAATTATAAATATATTATATTACAAATCACTTGACGTGAACGACTTGATCTTCCACTCCCCATCAGACTTTTCCATACTGTTTCTAATCTCACCAGACGGGCTGATGATCATAGTAGGGAGTATGTCCTCTTGAATCTGGGAGGCAGCATAAGAGTATCAAAAAAACTCGTTCTCAACTGGCCCCATTCTTTCATTGTTTATGCGGATTTTCTTTACTTCCTCCTTGTAATAAAACTCTACATCATTGGTCAAAATAAAGATCAGGCGGTCTAGTCTTCTTATATGTATATGGTTAAGATAAATCGTCTTCAGCTGGTTGTGCCACGATTCAATATAGTTGTTGGTGAGATATCGTAAGTGCTGCTGGGTCACATAAGGTCTTCCCCATCTTCTCATGACTTAATCACTTCCAACCCATCTTTGCTTAAAATAATTCAAGAATTGCTGTTGTTGCTATATTTGTTGTTTAAATTCTTAATTTTTTCTGAGAAAGTGGTGCTCATTTGACTCTAAAAGTATGTCTTTTAAATGTTGTTTAAGCTGTTTCTTATATTTACTAAGTTGTTTTGAGATATACAAAGCATCCAATTTAATTTTGCTGTTAAGGTTTTGCTGCCAAGCATGAAAAACATAAAACTCACAAAAATAGATTGCTGTTTGAGATAGTACTGCTGTGATAACATTGATCTCAGGAATGCTATAATCAATTGTGATATACATAGACATAAAATGACTATTATCTTGAAGATGTGTCAGTCATTGGCTAATACAGGCAGCACTATGATCATTGGTAATTATGTAGGCAATTAATATGCCTTTTTCTGTCTCAGAATGCCAAGTAACAAGAGAGTACAAGACTTCAGCACTTCTTACAGAGATACCATGGGTGGTGCCAAGACAAATGGACTTTAAGATTGTCATTAAAGCAATTTGAGAGAGAGATTGGAACCCAAAGGCAAAAGGTAATAAAAAGAGATTGAAAGAAGAAAGTTCTGCAGTAAAAACACAATAGTTCTGAGATGGCAGCTTCTCTTTCATTCAGATTGCCAGAGATCTGTCTTCATTGGGATGGAACATATATAACAAATCTTTTAACTATATCTTTATTTAACATTTTTTATAGAAAGCATTTTCTTCATATTTATTCACACATCTTTCTCATTCTGTTATATATGTCTTCCTAATTGGGCTTTATAATACCAGTACCCTACTCTTCAATCTGTCTAAGAACAGAAATTCTAGTGTTTCTACAATTGCTTCCTTCTCTCAACTAATCCTCAATTATTTTAACAGTCTCAGAAGTCAAAGGCAAAGTTCTAATATCTGAACTCTCTCCAGGAATATGATTTATATAATTCTTCTTCATACAAAAGTCAACAGCATTAGGGTTGTTAACATATTGCTTAATATGAAGAATAGCAGTATAGTTGCAATGCTTCCAGTCCTTTTGAGCTAAACAGACACTTCAATCCAGGATATATTCTCCTGCACGATGACACAATCTTGTCTTGCCAAAAACCAACCCTCTTGTCTTATAATCTCTCCTTTTTATTTACTTTGTTGAGCAAAGAGTTTGAATACGACTGAGACAATTGAGTCAATGGTTGGCTTTAACTGACACTACAGTATTTAACGGGAGCATCTTTACTTCTTTGATGAGCAAATTGACCAATGCATTCTGTATATTAGACATAGTAAAAATGGCGTTGGACATAGTGGATGTGTTAATTTTTTTGTAAAATAAAGGGGCGGGAGAAAAAAAAACAATTTTAAAAAAAACTCTTTTATTAAAAGCCATAAATATATGTTCAATTCAATCTCGTGGAGGGAAAAAATAGCAGACCCTCCATAGAATTAAAACTCATCAAAGGAACAAATAAGTAAGTTCCATGATAGGTAGTACCAGACTTGTGAGCATTGACATCAATGGTGAGTTGACTAGCACTATGGCTATAGGAGTGGTAACTATGTCTAAAATAGGCACATAACTGCCATTTTTCTGGTCAAAAACCAATAATTTCTCTGTAATTTTTGGTAAGATGGCAATGTCATTAGCAAAATTTTAAAAAAGTAGCATGAAATTTGTTTTTTTTGTTGCTGTATGATGTTTCAAATAGTCTAGAAAGTGTTTGTAAGCTGTAATGACTACTTTAAATATTGAAATGTATGTTTTATTTAATATTAAAGATGTCTAGTTTTATTTGGATTAATTTTTTATGGAATGTGTGAACGAAATGGAAACATAACTGCCATTATTTTTTTTAAAATCAAGACTTTTTTTTAAAAAAAATACACCTCTCTTCTTGTTCACTTAACAATTTTATTTTAATTTAAATTGCGTAATGGCATGTAGAACATGTAAAGAATATAAAAAACATAAGATATATAGAAAATAAAAAAGCATAAGGTATATAGAAAATAGAAATAATAATATAGAATATATGGGAGATATAGAAAGCATAAAAAATATAGGGTATATAGAGCATATAAAAAATAAAAAATAAAAAAAAGTTATAAAATAGAAAGGTTGCCCTTTGTAATGCATATATTATTGTTGAAAACATAATAAGGTGCAATTATATAGAGCTGATTTCCATTTGGTGGGTATTTTATAAGGCCAACTAGATGACAAATATTATCGACACTTATTACTGTATATGTGGGTTGTGTTTAGCGACCTGTTGCGCTGTTTTGTGACCGCTGTTTAACAATTGGTACAGATGAGTCGTGGGCAGCCGCGTCATGTTCCTTCATTACGTCAACAAAAGCAAGGAAACGAAGAGAGCCAAGGGAATCCTCAAGCTGGAAGAAGAATATTGCCACACCAACGAGCCAGCTATAAGCAATTATGTTATGGTTGCTAAAGTAAATAAATAAATATATTTTAAGCAACTTTTGGTTTTATATTGAAAAATAATATACTTACTTTCTGTAAGGACAGATAAACATCATGTAATGATTACCATGGCTTCTTTTATTTCTTCTTTGTCAATATATGCAAGATGAATACACAGTTGAATTCATCCATAAATGACTAGCAACAACAATCGTAGAATCACCAATAGTGACCTTTATGCATTTTGAAGAAACTAAAAAAATTACTTTATAAGAATATTGAAGGCTTTTTTTCAAATTATAACTTAAAATTAAGTGTAACAAAACAAAAGAAATTTGAAAAAAAAGATCTCTTATTTTTCAAATTTTGCTCTGCAAGAAGTGTGTTTTTTCAAATTTGCAACCAATTATATCCTTTTAATTTTTGTACTAAACTTCTATTAAAAATACTAGTAGAAAAAATAAAATTATTTAATATTACTGCTTGTAATTTTAGTTATATTATATGTCCAATGATATATATAGGCAGATTTGAAAATTTGATCAATTTAATCTGGTGTGACAAAGACAATGTAGTACCCGACATTTGAAAAAAATTGAAAATTCTAAATGCATAAAGGTCAATAATATCAGAAATCATCAAACCTGAAGTTTGTTGATAGTATCTAGTTAAGGCATCCTTCACACTAGGGCTGGTCACATCTTCCACCAAATCATTGTTCAAATGAGCAAATCGATGAAATGGCTCCCACAACTGTGCACCACTAGGATCATTAGGAAGATCCATATAACTTTCTATACCATACGGTTTGGGCTGAATAAGATCAATTTCGTTCTGGATACTAATGGTCGTGTTGACATAGTTATGCAATGTAAATCACTCCACAAGAAAACTGGCATTATGGCCGCCCTTGCACTTAGACTTGATTAGCTTGGAAAAGACACCAATTACTCTCTCCATTGATCAAGTGGAGTAGCACCGAAGTGGATCTAGTTGCTTGATAATAAATTGTATTTGTACAAGATAGTGCTGTACTGGTCTGAAGACACTACAAGATATAGTCTTGTTCTGGACTAATTGCAATAGATAGTGGTGCCAGTGTTTAAAATGTCTATTGTTGTTATTACTATTTTTAAAGAAAGTTGTGATTAGTTTTATATATAGTAATATAGTGTTAGAGGCATTATGACTTACACATCTATCTCATCCAACAACTCTGAAGTCAACATCCATTGCAATGTCAGTGCACAACATTTGACAAGTGACAGCACTGCAGTTTTCACAGCTCTGTTTGGCAAGAACGGAACAACAAGAGTGAGAACAATGTACAACAGAAAGTCAAGCCAATCAACTACGCAAGTACCATCAATCTTGGAAAAGATGTTATCAAAACTGCCTTGGAATGATACTGATATATATGGTCTTGAACTTGTGATACAGTTACCAATTGTCACAAGACTAGTTCTTGGTATGAAGAATGAGTATTATGTGGTGGAGAGGGTATCATCCGGATGGATATAAAAATATTTGTCTCCTTGGTAAGGGACACAGTGATCAAGTTATAAATGTGCTTTCCAATTCCTCTTGCAACTAAATGAAGTTCATCCAGTGCAAAGAAAGAAGATCTGGAGAAGGCTGACAGCTTACTAAAGATACTTGGCTGGTATATATTTTTTATCTATTATAAGCAATTATTTAATACAAGAAAAATCTAATTAAACTGTTATATACTTATAGGATTGCTGGTTTTGAAGTCTTCCAAAGGTCGCAAAGGAGCAGAACTATCTTCAAAGTACATTTCGTGCCATCTGTTGTCTGGGGCTTTTCCCTTTGTTTCGCAGATTTGGAAATCAAACAAACTGGCATGTGAGCCAATGTACGCCATGTCAGCCACAGCTGGAATGTCACCAGAAGCAAGCAACAAGTGGATCTTGGCACAGCAAACCTCAACTCCATTGCTCTTGATTACCAAGCCATGCACCTCAAGATCTTTTATTTCAATGATGATTGGCGTCAGGAAAGTGTCCAAGTGGGTAGGCTTCTTGGGACCAGGCAAGATTGCCAGCTGCAAGAGGTATTCATTTGTGTATCTAAGCTTTTTATTAGTAACTTTTTTTTGAAATTAATATATTAATTGATTTGTTATCTTATTGATGGGTCAAGGCTGAATACAACAGCATGAACAATGTTGTACGAACTCTTGCCTTTTTTTTGGTTAATGAAACTATCAGTATATAACTCAATGGCAATATCGTCGGAATTTGAGAACAGACCTTGCTGCACTAACTGCTTGTAACTGTCACCATCGAAAATATTGGTGAGCTAACCAGCTACAGATTCCTGGTTTGCTCTCTAATGGAGGAGTTCTCTTGTAGCTGGATCAGCCAGCATTTGAGAAAACATATCACGGACTGACATGAGCTTCATACTGGTGGATGATGTTTCACTTTGCTCTGGATCAGTCTTGTATAGCAGTTTGCTGCAGTCAATACACGATTCTTGATTGTCATTAATCCCATAAAATTGGCAACCACTAGGACAGACATCATACTCATGGCCCTTGACACTTGACTTGGACTTAAGCAAAGCATTGACAGTTTTGCCATGGCTAATCTTAGCCCCAGGTTTTAAAAAAAAAGAAATGACATTACTACATGCTAGAATTTTGAATTAAAGTATAAGATAACATAAATATTTTATTTTATCTAACATAATTTCATTGGGATCTTGAATGATTGTATTTGTCAGAAACTGATCTGGACAGAGACAAGGACAGAGAAAACAGAGAGAGAAATATAGATAGATTCCTTTATTAAAGAAGTTGTTTGCTTGATCTTTCTATGATCAAGCTATACAAGTATTTATATAAATATTTATGTCTGCTAATTGTAAGAATAATTATGTGATTGGTGCTATGAGTGTTCTCTCTAAGGAAATGGATGCAATGATTTGATTGGTCTAATAATAATATGGTCGGAAGGGATTCTGATTGCGCTAATGACTGAGACCAATTGGATGTTCTTTACAGTATTAACAAATTGGACGATGTATCTGTAAGCTGCCCTGGAAATTCTGTGCTGAAGCATCAATTGAGAGAGATGAATACTCATCAGCTTGGCTTTTGTAAAGGTATTTCCACCGATTTGACTGCTATTATAAACATGAGCTTTACCCTCACTGTCTTCAAAACTACAGCCGCACTTGTATGAAATGATCTCATCAATTTCCATTGTGTTCATGGCATAATCTACAATGCATTATCAGATAAGTATTCAGATAAATTAATGATATTATTACATTGATTATTATTATCTGAATCACTAACCAATTCATTGTCATCAATGATACTGTTTCCATCATGTTGTATTTTAACATCATGCAGAATAAACTGATCAATGACAGCTACTGTTATATGATCGTCTCTGTGAACTCTCTTATGATTTTGAAGCTGCTGGTAATTATAAAACGACAGGACACACTGAGCACATTGATATTTTTCTGTAGATAATCTATCTCCCTGCTGATTGGTGTTAGAGAAAGACATATTGATTGTTTTGGTAAGCATTTAATATATGATATTAAAGTGTAAAGAGGATTTTGATAATATTCTTGGAATGTAAAAGAGAGGTTTATATACTCTTTCTTTTGAGACAAAATGTTTTTTTTAAAACAAATTCTTGTATTGATGATACAACAATAAAGACAATAATAACAATATTAGTTAAAACACATCTTGATCAAAAATAACAACAAGTATGATATAAGTATGTCTATCATAGTATTTATTTTAAAAAATCAATGCTTAACAATTAATTAACTTTATGATATTTAAACATTGTGTTACTATTGTATAGTCCATCTATACTGATTTCATTATTTTAATTAGTAAAATATTCTGGTACCAAAAATAAAAAAAATGTCGTAGCAACCATATGTTTATGGTTAAGTTGATATATTTTTTTTCAGAAAGTTAAATAAGTAAACATTATGAAATATATATATAATGGGAATTACAACTTTTATTCACTTTATCTTTCTTAAAAAATAAGAATTCAAAAATGTCTGATATCAACACCACACTCATAAACTCTGTCAGAAAAATTGAAATTGATATTGCTGAAATAAAGCAAATGATACGCATGCTTCAAGATCAGTTTAGCAAACAATTTGTCCTAACGTTAAGCACACAAGACTTTAGTACAATGTAACAAAGCATCATTGAGCAAAGTGGTAAGATATATTTACTCTATTCTAGTACATTTGCTTGCCTTATTAATATTATGACATACAATTTTCTCTTTTGTAGCTCTTGAACGTGTTGGTAAGTCTGTGAAAAGGTCTCAATTTACTGAGTATCCTGACAAGCTTGGCAAGTGAGTAATTGGCACAGGTGGCGATTTCAAAGGGGAAAATGAATTCCAGAAATACAATTTGTTGTTGCCATTGCTTCACAAACAGGACTGGAAAGCATGCTACAAAGAAATTCCAGGAGAACAGCCTTTGCCTCAACTAGTACTTCTTTTAGACAGCAATTTGACAATAAAGCGACTACAGCTTAAGACTTTGAGTCATAGCATCAAGCATGACCTGATTGACAAGAACTTTTCTGCTTTCAGTATAGAATGGAAAGGTATCCTGGCAAAGCACCAGGAGTACTACATGATGCAATTGGAGAGACTGGCGAAGGATAACGGCTTTGCTATTTACAAATGCAAGAGCGTGTAGCATGCAAAAAGCCTTCTCCAGAGAAGCTTCAAAAGTGACAGCCAGAAGCAAAAAAGAAGAATGGTAGAGAAGAACAATGTAAGTTTATTAATCAAAAGGTTTCATTCATATATTTTAGTTAACATTTAAAAAATCTGTAGGCACAGCAAGATGCAAGTGATTCTTCATTGTCTTCTGATAATATATTGGAAACGGATGGTGGCAAGTTGCCTATTATGGTAGATATGCTTTGAGTTGCTATGGTTTCTGCTGGTTTGGTGCTGTCAATACAAAACTAATATAAACCTTTTACTTTTTTATAAAGGTCTTCTCTGGCAGAAATGAGTGTTGAGCCAGCACACAAGAGAAGCCAAAGATAATAGGAGGTTTTGATTGGTTCAAAATATTTTTTTAGTGTATTTTTAGTTCAGTTTATATATTTTTTTTCTTCTCTCTTCCTTTCTCTTGTTTTCTTTATTCCCTTTCTCTTTAAATAAAGATGCGTTGCTCTTTTTTATATGATTGTTATCTATATAGTCATCAGCATTGAAAACTAATGTACAACATCTGTAGCATTGCTATAATTAATTTTTGAATGAAGCACAATATATTCTTTTTTTAAAGAACAAAAAAAACTAATAATACTCTTGTGCTGCAATGTTATACTTGATAGATGCTATATTCTATGTAAGTATCTTGATAGAATATACATCTCGTGTTAACAAAACAATGTTCATTCAGTTTTCAACTAGATTCAACTTGACTTTATATTGTATGACTCAAAAATTTTTTTCAGGTTTTATTTGGTAATAATTTTGAGTGATACTCACTGCTTTTTTCACTTGTCTTGTAGACACTCTAACACTCTTTAATAACATAAGAAGCTTACATGTTAATATTATTTTCTAATATATATATATCTATAGCAAAAAATTATTATTTGAAGCTATCAAGCATATAACATAAAGGTAAGCACTACATTATTATGTCTATTTGTTTATTTTCCCTCTAACATTGATATATTTGTAGAAACCAGTAAGAATTAAAGAAGGTTGTCTATTCTATATCAAAGTATTCAAAACACATGAAATTCATTTGGGATAAAGGGTTTTTACTGCATACCTCTGCAGTAGCCAAATAATACTATGTCTTTTTTGCAAGTTCTAATAGACAGGTTTTTAGTAGTACTGCTATCATATAATAAAGCATAAATTAAAGCAAAATTTTATTCTATTCAATTCATTCCAATTCATTTCAACTCAATTCAATAAATGGTTCATTTAATATGGCAAAGATAAAGCAAGGGAATATACTGGTATTGGATACAGTGGAGTAAAAAAAAACAAAAAAAAAACAAAAAAAAAACAAAAAAAACAAATGAACCTCGGTCTTTTAAAAAAAAGTGGCAACTGTACCTCTAATCGCGCTATACAGAGTCAAATCTAACATTTTTTATTATGTAAAAAATGGCAGTTATGCTACTAAAGTGGTAACATGTTACCACTTTTTTAGCCATAGTGACAATTGTATAAAGAAAGCAATCTTTTGAATCTTCACCAGCTGAAGTATTAAAGGATTTACTTGTTTTATGTGTAGAGTCAATACACCACTCCTCAGAGTTTTCAAGATACTGTTGTAACTATAAATTAAATAAGTAAATATAAAATAAAAAATATTAAATAAAAAATATATTTACTTCTTTTTGCCAATCTGAAACCTATGAAAGAACAAAAGGTTCATTTTGATGAACAGTGAACAGAGTTGTGTTTCTATTCTCATGGAGTTCTTCCATCCAAAGTTTGACACTTTCTTTGTAATTGACATGTCTTCTTGAAAGCTTCATTACGTAGGCATTTATAACATTTCTCACGTATTGATAATCTATGAGAAGAGATGCAGGGAAAGAAGATTGACTACCAGATTGCTCAAGTTATATAGCTTAAAGTCAGTAAAGACCCTCAAAATATACTATAAAATATTTACTTCAAAAAGTCAATCTTCACTCATTCTAAGCATATTCTTAATGGATTTCCAATTCATATTTTGGCCAACAAGCCCTTCCACCTATTGCTTTAGCTTATCAGGCAATCTGAAGTAGCTTATTTCCTCAATTCAAAAGAGATTATGGTCGGAATGCTGCCAGTTATACTTGATATAAATTATACCATCAATCATTGCATGCTTGTATATGTTAGCTGAGCAACCGATTTTTATAGATTTTGTAGTTCTAACATACTTCTGAACTTGCTGCGAGGAAAATGGTTTTTTTTAAGGTTTTCTAGCATGATCACATAAGTATACAACTGTTTTTACTTTTAAAGGCTCTTTAAGAGACAACCCAATAAAAGCCCTATTTTTGTTATGGTCATACAATTGATGGTAAATTCAATTGACATGCTTTTTTGCTACTTTATTCAACCAGTTTGTGAACTCATCTTCAGATGAAAGAGCTAAGAAGTCAATAGAATGTATGTGATCAGGAACAATGCGATTTTCATAATCATCGGTAATATTAAAGGTTGACATTTTTAGCTGATATAAGAGATGAGATTTTTAAGAGAAAGTATTAAGGAGGATATGCATAATAAAAATTTTTCACGCAAAATGAAACACCATGAGATCTGTGACTTGCTTTTTTATATGGGAAAGTACTGTTACCGGATTGTCAGAGTTGACATTGGTAAACAAAATTGGTAGTTATAAGCAACCAGTAAGAGTTGACTTTTTAGGATAAAAGATCTTGACTTTGCCAATTGGTCTTTCATATATGTTTTAGATGTTTAAGATAGTGAATATACTTGCAGAATATATTACTGGACAACAAGCATCTAACACTGGAAAAATAATAGGATATTCTTCTGTTAAAAACTGTTAAAATATATGTGTAAAGGCCAGGTTTCTTCATATGATCAGAAAAATTACACAAAGATATGAAGCCACCTTTCTACTAAGTAGAAAGACTAACTTTTGAACATAGGAAAAGCTCGGGCAGCTGAGAAGCAGGGTTCATTAGCATTCTCTGTATATAGAGTTTCCCTATTACATCAAAGCATTTTATCCAAAACTATATTTCTTGTAATACTTTATGTTTGTTTTAGATTAAAAGAACGATGAACAAGCATGAAATTTAATGGAATAGTTAACTTTTCCATGGTTATAATTTCCAAAACAAAAATTTGAGCCAATCCTAGACACTCCTTCTTGTACAATTAACTGCAAAATACTTCTCCCCCCATATATACATTGCAATTCTTATTGGTTTATTTTGTGTTTATTAAGAAAAAAGAATACTTCTAGGTTTACAGTCTAGTGATACAAATATATATTTTGGACTGCTTTCCTCATCATCTTTCATACTATTTGAATTGAGCAATGCAACGCAGATATTATTTCTCTCAAAAAAACCAGTAATGTGTAGCTTGCTTGAAGATGCTTGTTCTCTAAAATTATAAGGGTGTTAATTATGTACATAGAATATCAAATATCCTAAAAAATATATTGTATAAAATATACTTATATTAAAAACATCAGATACAAGTGGGAAAATCAAGAGGATATCAGGAATGTTAGACATGACACCCAGTATGACTACTTTGACTATGAAAATGATTGTAAAAATTAGTTTGGGTAAATTGAGTAATATAGTAATTAATTTACACACCCAAAGTAAACAGTTGTATTTGTAAATATTGATAGTCCTTGTCAAGAGCCGATATAGTCTCTTGTAGAATATTGTATTATATTAATATACAGTATAATAATATTACAGTACATATAAAGAGAATAAAGGAAAAACAAGTCTTACTATGTCAATGACAGTAGCATGAGATGGAAGTTCTAGATGCAGAGAATGTTTGAGAGAGGGTCATTCATCTATAATAAAGGTTATATTTTGTTAGATAAATATTAAAACAAAATGTAATAAATAAAAAGAACTATAAAATATTACCATGTTGGTTACCATGTTTAGTTGGAGTGTATGTTTTTGGAAACACGGCCTATAAAAAAGTCAGCAAAGTTTTAGAAGAAGATGACAATGCTTACTAATGTTTGCTAATCGGGATGGACATTGTGAAGAGGATGCATCAGAAATAAAAAGAATGATAGTGTCTATGGCAACAGAATGTATCAGTGTTTTTTTTAGTTGTTTATGAAAAAAGAGACATCACCTTACCATAGAAACCCTGACATATAATAAACAATGAATAGAACAATGAAGCAAGTGACTATGGCAGCCAAATATATAAATATTCTTATTTGTTATCTGTGATAAAGCTCTTTTTAAAAAGAATATAACCTACTAAAATATATAAAAATAATAAAACTTGAAAAGAGAGAGAAAAGAAAAAGAAAAAAGAAAGACAAGCCAGAATGAGACAAAGAGGAAAAAAATAAAAATAAAAATAAAAATACAAATAAAAATAAAAATTACAAAAGAAGTAATAAAGAAATCAAAACAAATGCTTGCCCTCAAGAGAAACTGAAAGAGTGTAATGAAATAAAACCCAAAATCAATATTTCCATTGTATCTTACACAGAGCTTGTGTAAGAGAGCAATTTAGATTTATTCTTGACACAATCTCTATTGTCAATAAATATATTTTCTTTCAAAATATTAATTAGCTTCTTTGCTACACTCGCACTTTTACAAATACTCACACTCAAATGTAAACATATAATCACATTCACATACATACAAAAGACCATATTTTACAAGTACTCTTATATACAAAGAACACTATGTTGTATACATATATAATGTTAAATCATAATATAGATAGTTCATACTTATTTGTTTTATTAATTTATAGAAAATGCCTAAAGTCAATTGTACACTTGCTCCCCATCCATCAAAAGAAAACGCAGATCTGATTGCTAGATTAGATGCAATGCAGCAAAGCCTAAAGGATATGGATTCCAAAATTGGCTGCGTTGTCAAAGGCAATGCTGATGCTTTGGAAGTTCTGGATACTCTTATTGGAACTTCTGATAATGTTCTTGAGATTGCTCCCGCCTCTGCTCCCTCCTCTGCTCCCTCCTCTGCTCCCACTGCCACTTCTACTGATGTTAATCAAGAAGTTTACAATCGACTTTTTGTGAGTAAAGCATTATCAAATATTTTATCAATATACTCTCTCGCACAATATATAGTCTCTTATCCAAAGCCAATTGAGGGATCCAAAATTCAGATCAAATGATGCAGCTTTGATTGCAGCAAATGACAGCAAGTCCAGTTGGAATACTAAAATTCATTTCAATCGTTTCCCTAATAAAAAACTGACACTTGCACTTATGGCTTACCTGAAGCCAAAGCTTGCTGCGGATGGGCTTAGGCCATCCAAAATCCGCAGTAGTATTTATACTAACTGTGGTGATTCAGACACTCGGATGTTGGATTTATCACATATAAGAACATATTCATATTGGGATAGCGTAGTAGCTATCATCTTGTCAGTATAAAATATATATAAACGATTAAGTAATCAGCCCAATAGTTATTACAGTTAGTACTGTAGATAATATCTTAAAGATTGTTAAGATAATTATATCATACTGCTGGGTAAACTGTGTCAGATCGATATAGAGCTAATTTAGTAGGAAGTCCTAAAGCTCTAGTATAAAAGAGAAAAGAATAGCTAAGAGCTAAAGAAATACGATTTATGGCTTGATGTTATCATTGTAACACCAACACTAGTTAAGCAGTAAATACACTCTAATAGCCAAATATAGTAAAGGAAGAAAGCCTTAAGAAACTAAGACGTAATGACAAGAGCAGATTGTGTTTTCTTATAAAAAAGGACACTTTTTATTTATGAATAAAGACAACTTATATACAGTCTCAAAGTATTTCTATACGTCTCTATTATCAAATATTTTATTTTTCTATTGTTTCGTATCTGAAATACCACACTAACTTTTGTAGAAGATGTTCTGCTGAACGAAAGTTGCTGTCAGCCCTTGATGCAGGAAGATCAAGGTCAAGAAGAGCAAGTCAAGCAACCACTGTATGTTGTGTTGTATTTTGATAAAAATAATAATATTGAGTAATATTAATAAATGTGTATTATTAGAACTTTGACTGCCGTGAGCTGGCCTACAGCATATGCAAGGCTGACATTGATACGTTGATGGGAAAGGATCGCAAAGGGCTCATCAACAAGGCACCAATATCTGAGGGTGAGTTGGAGGATGAGATACCTGGAGTTCTAGGCAATCATGTGATCTGTACAGTGCGTCCATCCTGGAGAAGCAATGAGGTAAATACTTTTATAAATAATATTAAATACGATCCATTGTCTTTTAGTAAAATAAACATAATATTTTTATTTTAATCTAGTACAATCAGTTTCTGGGGTATGTTGACGTAGCCGTGCTCAAATGCTTGAACCTAAATGTGCGCCAAATGGCAAAGAAGACCTTTGGCAGAGATGCTGATTGAGCAGTCCCGAGTCAACTGAAGCACTCTCTTCCTCAGTGGGCTTTCAGAGATGAGCTCTAATAAAAAAATTTTCTCTCTCATTCTTTGCATTATAATTTCAACAAACACAAACTTATTGTGAAACATGAATGTTACAATTGTCTTTTTCTCTTGGATTCTTTAAAAAGGAGAGTTAAATTTTATTAATTTCTATGCATAGTGTTTTTTTGGTAAAGGAATGACTAGTATTTTTTTAACATTTTGACGCGTTGTATGCTCAGCTGTAGCAACTTGCAACAAAATTCTATGCACTGGCAATATGCTTTGATGGCTGTCATGAGAGAACGTAGGATAACAAATATCAACATGTTCAAGTGAACAAGAATGATTGTCAGCTGGCATAAACCATTTGACGAAAGCAAAAACATGTTGATCATAATGCATAAGCCGGAATTGGCGATTGTTGTTGTTGGTAGGTGGTGGGGTAAAGGAATGTGTGAATAGGTACTGAATTTGACCTGTGTATGCGAGTACATGCTGGCCTGTACTTCCATAAAACTTGGCTTGAATGAGGGAACCATGATGTTCTGATTCATTCTGGCCTTTATAAGTCTGGCCAAGAATGTTTACTGATTTAAGCTTATTTATCAGGTTGTCAACAAAGTATGGTGATGATGAAGCTTCTTTGTAATGGACCAATGCTTGATTTTGGTATGCAGTCTTATAATATTCCAAGAGATAAAGATAGTGAATATTACTCATTGGTATTAATGCTGCTGTAAGGAGTGGGAAGGCAGAAGGAGGGAGAGGCTCATTGCCTTTGATGACAAGATCTGGATTTTCGGAATAATCAATAAAGGATTGTAGACGGAAGGTACATTGACGGATGGTAGGGGTGGTAATTGGCATAGAGGCTGGCATAGGTGTTGACATAAGCTTAAAAATGAATTGGCGGAAGGAGACTTGGCTTGGACCTCGAAGAACAGCATTGACATAGTCTTCCTTGTGTACATCTTCAACAAATTTTTGCATATAGGTTTCTTCAAACCCAATTTTTCTGTTTGTTTTCATATTTTTTAACAAACTGTTAAATCTCTCAAACCTGAAGAGCCAATAACCATACACTGGTCCAAAATCACGAACAACATTATGAAGATGGAGGTGCAGGTGCATGTTACAGGTGAGGATTTTGGTTGAATATGTGGTTTCGAATTTCTGACAGAATCTTTCAAGGAATGTGTGGGCATTGCTTAGTTCAAGGAAAGTGATGGTTGGTTTTATCAAGATGTGACATGCATCAACATAGTCGATCCAGTTGTTGAACATATTATTTGGAAGAACGCCCTTCAACAAAACAGGAGAGTAAACGAGCACCCACGACTTCCACTCGTCTGCTTTCATGTATGAAAACCCTTTGCCGATTTTCTTTGTCAAAGCAGTGTACTTGCCAGGAATCACCATTGTCTCTGCTGTCTTCTGCATTGTGACTAGATCGTCTTTCGAAATCTTCTTCTCCTCAATCCACCAATTCAGCATCCTCTTTGGAGTTCTCAGAAAAAGATTATGCATGGGATCAATGATCGTTCCACATACTAGATCAAAGTATCCAAGACAATACAACTGCGACCATTGAACACCATTTTCGACCTCCAGCTGATGCCTTCCTGAGGGGGTACTAGCACTTTCCCACTTCTCAGCATGCAACCTGCTTTCTACACCATTACGAAGATTCCATTGAGAAAAGACAAATCCACTAAAATCGACGTTGATTCCATTTGGCAGACGAGGGAACTGGTGGTTGCACTTGTAGCAGGTGCACATACTGTTGTGAGAAGTGAACCTGCTTGTTTTCTGAGCAGCTGAAATATCGCAGGCCACCATCAGCAGTACTGCACAAACATTGACTCCACTGGGACATTCAAAGGTTGGGATCTTCATTCCCACGTACAACGTCTCCAACTTCTCTACCAAAGGTTTGAGATAGTGATTTATCTCTTCAGACTTTGGTTCCTTAGGACCTGGCATAAGTCCAACCAGAATGATATTCTCTGGCTTGAACCATTCGTCCCAGGGAAGATTGTTGATAGCAATATAAATTGCACCAGACGAGTGAGATATATTATCGAATGGCTGGAACTAGTCAATGTTGATAGTTAACATTAATGAACGTGAATCTTAGGTAAATTGCACGCCATCTTTGTCTTTTAACTCCTTCCATATAGCTCTGTCGTAGATATCGCACATGGTATTCATCATCTTCAACTCGTGGTTCCAATGTCTGATTTTTTTTCAAACTCTGGGCGAAGGAAAAACATCTTTAATGTCTCTTTGATATACTGGTACACATATGACCGCTTAGCTATCAAAGCACCCGATGACAATGATTTCATCAATTGACAACCACAAGACGAGTGTGCACCAAGCTTCACAAAATCACTTTGAGAAGGAGCAGATACACTTTCTTTATACACCTTGTGGCAATCCTGACACACAACAAATTTCTTTACGCCTTTGGTCATGGCTGAGAAACCTGTCATGCGCTGTAGACTAGGAAGGCTCAAGGGAAGTTAGAAATCCTGCTCGTAAATCGTCAAGAGTTTGTTGATGAACTCAATCAAGACAACAGCACTCTTGTTGACCACATAGCGGGAAGCAAACATTACCACAAATGTAGCAATGAACCTGTGCACTGAGTTCTCTGGAATATTGGGGGTTGCAAAAGGATCTAGTGTAAAAATTGCAAAAAAAAATTAACACCCCTCTTTTTTTCAGATTTTCATTTTTCAATTTCTTAGTAGTGGAGCACCAACCTTCATCAACAAATTCCTCGACTTCAATCTCAACAACATCTTCATCATCTTCTTTGCTTTCTTTGCTATTACTGCTTTCATCATCACCACTACTCTCCTCATCATTACCACTCTCATCACTATTGCTTTCACTGTTGTGAATCTCTTCATTCTCAACCAAAACATTATCATTGTCAGACATTGGGGCTTCTTCCCAAACAGGTGAGCTGGTCTGACCATACGCCTCTTCTGTGATTCTGGATTGATGGGTTGGAATAGCTATATATAGAATATATTTCTTAGTTAAGCTCTATTATTTTTGTTCAAATTAATATTTTCTACGTTCAACATCAACCTCCATCGCATTTCTTTGGGAAGAAGATTCTATTAAAGAATGTTATTTTTTTTAACTGCAAAAAAAACCAAATAAAATCTAATACAATAATACTACAAACTGCATACCACTTTCACATCTTATAGCATCTAATCTTGCTCTTTTGTTATGGTGCTGAGCAGTTCTTCTGGCAACAAAACTATAGCCTAGTTCGTTCTGACTACATCCAGCACAATAGCACTTTTCATTGTAAAGTTAGGGGATTGAGGACATGGTGTCTTTTGTTTTGTTTTTGAATGTTAAGAGAAAAAGGAAACAAGTGCTACATATACTTTATTTACTATGGCCTTTATAATAATAATAAAAATTAATCTTTGTACTAGTTATATCCAAGCCAATAGAATACAACAAAACTGCATTTTCAATATGAACATAAGAAAACCCTGCTGAGATGAAAATTGGCTCCACATTTTCCATTGTTATCAGGTAACTGTGCACATTGGAATTTCCCCCTTTTTTCCAGTGTAAGACATATTATTGTAGCTATTCTTTTAGCCAGAAATCAATTATCATTTTGTATAAATAGTCAAAAAATATATTTAATAAATAGCATCTTTATTCTTATCTAAAAACTCTTCTTAAAAACTTAACGATCCTCAGTGGTATTGATTCTGCAACTTAGTTACAAGTGCCAGAAAAGAATTACCAGATCGAGACTTGACAGGGTTATCAATGTTGTCGTGTTTAATTTTTGGGATACAAGTTCTAGTGACTTGTTATTACAAAAGAAGCAGGAATTAGAATGATTATTCATCAGTTTGTAATTTTAGAAATTTGTAATCAGTTTATAATAATTTGTAATATTACTAGACACTACTTGAGTGTAGTCAAAGATGAATAATCATTTCAAAAAACTATATAAGATAACCCAAATCAAATAATAAAAATCATCTTTTTATCCTCTCTCTTATTTGCTTACTCCTGTGTTATTACAGCTTGACCAATTTGGCTACGTTTACAGTGAATTAGAAGATAGCCTAGATCAGGAACAGCAATGTCAACTCTGACAGATTTGTCAAGTCTCGATCTGGCATTTCTTTTCTGGCACTTGTAACTAAGTCGCAGAATCAATACCACTGGGGATTGTTAAGTTTTTAAGAATAGCTATGATAATATGTCTTAGATGATGGTTATCTAGTAATATCTCTACAAGTATATTCCTCATCTCCAACATCTAAAAAATAGACAAAAGACCAATTGGCGAAGTCAAGATCTTTTATCCTAAAAAGTCAACCATTACTAGTTGCTTATAACTTCTGATTTTGGTCACCGATGTCAACTCTGACAGATTTATCAAAATAATGTGTCATTCCCGATCTGGGTTGGTCTTCCTTTTACTATAACAAAGTCAAAAGGTCAAACCCACTGGGGATCAAGGAGTATACATAAAATCAAAGAGAAGATAAAAGATACCTTTTATTAATATGAATTGAATTGTCTTATATAGTTTTCTAAACTAATACTGCACATTATCCATAGTAGTTATTATTTATATTTAATTAAAGAAATAGTCATTATACTGCGGTTAATGCTCAGGAAGATATTACTGTGCATAAAGAAGTACTGCAGTTGTCGTTCCTGATCTGGGATGGTCTTCCTTTTACTATAGCAAAGTCAAAAGGTCAAACCCACTGGGGATCGGAGAGTATATGTAAAATCGAAGAGAGGATAAAAGGTACTTTTTATTGATAGGAATTGAAATGTCTTATATAGTTTTCTAAACTAATACTGCGCATTATCCGCAGTAAACTATTATACTCTATTTAATTACAAGAGAAGTCCTTTCACTGTGATTGATGCTCAGAAGATGTTACTGTGGTTAATCTTTACAAGACATTACTGCAGTTCATTATCTATGAGATATCTTTGACACACAGAACTGCTGCGGTCAATTATCCCGATTTCTCGGATTCATCAAAATAATGTCCGACAAATACCTGCCAATAAAAACCTCTCAACTAACTCAAAAAACGTTATTTCCGGCTTACCAGATTCGAACTAGTGACCTAAGGATTACATTACATTACAGTCCTCCGCTCTACCAACTGAGCTAAAGCCGGAACTTCTCTTTCATATAAGCTTTATTGCTTTAAAATTTTGAGTTTTTTATAGTTTGCATCCATACAATTCTATCATCAATCCATCCTAAATATTGCTTCAACCATTGCATCTATTGTCAAACACAACGCATCTACCCTTCCCACCACCGCATCCATTGTCAAAAAATTTTTTCTATCGTTCCTGCCACTTTATCACCAATTTTCACTTTTTCTCTGCCAATTGCTACCATCTCAAGATCATTGCCAAACATGTTACAATTATTGCCTGCTAATTGCATGCAAAGTCTGTCAGCTGAACTTGTGACGTTTTTAACCAGTATGCAGTCACAGTTCAATGCACTTAACAAACGTACAACATATTTGGAATCACTTGCTGCTGAAAATGTGCAATTGCATGCTCAATTAGCTAATGTCCGGCAGGAGAATGCTGATCTTCAATCTCAATTGTTGCAAAACAATGTGACTGGTTCTGTTTCCAGCTCTGCTTCTCTTCCTGCACCCCAGTCAACTGCAGATCTTGGAACTGCTGCCTTCACTTGGGCCACCAAAACAAGCTTGATTTTGTCAGCCAAGATACCTTGAGTTCCTTCTGCTCACCAGGTTGCTGCCTCTCAAAGACTGTTCTCTGACAAAACTGGTTCTGATGGTTTTGAATATGTTTATATTCCTTGCTCACGTTGTATTATGCACAGTGAAGTGCACCACTCTCTCCACACTCTTGGTGTTGACACTGGTCGCCTGTTAGATATTAACTTTCCTGCTTGTAAGGTGATTGGCGTTCTTGTCCATGTGCAGTATCTTAAGGAATTTAAATCTCAATTAGCTAGTGCTAAGGTCTCTCTTGTCAACAACTTTAATCCACTTGATCCTAAAAATGTTGCTGATCCCAAGTTTGCCAACTTGTCTGTCTCTGGTCTTGAAACCCAGGCTTTGGTTCTCCAAAATGCCCACTGTCTCTAAGCTCTCAAGTTTTTGCGTTCTCACTTGATTCTGCCAGTTGCTCACTTCTTTGTCTAGTCAGAATGGATTGGACTTGAGGAAATTCCTGCCCAACCAGTAGCTGAGCACTTTGGTAATGCTCCAAATAAAAAATGTGCTCTTGATGCTCTCACTGCTATGATAGAATGAATGATCTTTCAATAGAATCATAGAATGTCAATGGACTTCAACCTCGTGCAATCAAAGACGTGCTCAACTACTGTCAATCTCTTCATATGCTGTTTATCATCAAAACATGGCTTCTATCCCCAGCCCGTCTTCCAACTTCATGATCTCAATATCATCTCTATGGATCTCGTGTTGCTGGCAACTACTGTGGATCAATGGGAGTGTCATTGTTAGTCTTTTCTTCATGTCCTTATGCTGTCACTCAAATACCTATGCCCAACAACTATGCTCTTGCTGTCAAGATAGGCACTCTTCAACTTATATGCCTTTACTTACCACCCTCTATGCCCACTCATGAAGCTCTTGATATTCTCTCAGCCATTCCTTTGACTGATGATACTATTATATGTGGCGATTTTAATGCACACCTTGGTTCAGTAACTGGTGACTATGCATCTAACCCTTGTGGTGTAGCTTTAGAGCAATGGCTTGAAGAACAATCTTTAACTGTCCTCAATGGAGTTTTCTCACCATGCACACCCACATACATTTCATTTTGTAACGAAGTTGAAATCAGCAGCATCATTGACCTTTTCATCACCAACACTAACTTCGCCAACCCTTCTTTACACATTGCAACCAAACTATCTTTAGGCTCTGATCACTGACTTCTCTCACTTTCCTTTACTTATGATCTGCAACACTCACCACCAGCACCTCCACCTATGCGCCAAACTTGGAATCTGTCACGTCTTTATGAAGATAATGTCAGATCATTATATGTCACCACCTTTGTCACCAAATCCGCCCCCCTTCTCACTATACTGCAAGACCTTGTCCAGAATCCGCCAACCCTATGTCCACCCATTGATGCTCTTACTAACTCTTTCAATGCACTCATGTATGACTCTCTTAGTAGCTCAATTGGTTCTCACCCCCCTTGCCCCTCACATTGGAAATCGTTTTGGACCCCTGCATTGCAAGCTGCAGCCGACCATAGAGATGGTTGTTACAAGCAATGGCGTTGAGCTTGTGGCATTGACAAGATCAATTGGTGGAGCCGGCACCAGCATGCACACAAGGAGTTTCGTCAGCAAGTTCAGACAGCAAAGCATTTGTCTTGGCATGCTTTTTGTCGCTCAATGAACTCGGATTTCAACAAGGCCACATCTAAGATAAAGCAGTTGAAACGGCACAGACAACCACAACACACATTTCAGCATGATGATGGCCCAACAGTCGCAGCAACAGTTATGTGTGACCATCTTGCATCTGTCTATAGTGGACATATTCTTCCTGACATTCGACCTTCACCACCACCACTCAACACCTCTCTCATGCCTTTTGCCTCTGTTGACTCCCCATTCATCTCATCAGTGGTGGAGACCTTCATGCAATTTATGCCTAACCGCAAGGTGCCGGGTCCTGACCACATCCATGCAGAAATGCTAAAGCTCATTTGGTCTCACATCTCACCTCTTCTTGCCTGTCTCTTTACTATCTGCTGGCAATGGTCATACACCCCTTCTCTCTGGCGCCATGCCCAAGTGTTTCCAATCTTTAAGAAGGGAGACCCTTTGAATACAGCAAACTACTGTCCCATCTCCCTTACTTCTGTGGTGCGCAAGTTGTTTGAGATGTGCGTAGCTCCTGAGTTGCATAAGTTCTCTCCTCCTCTGGATGTTGCCCAAGGTAGATTTCGTCTTTGCTGTGGTGCTCTTGACCAAGCTCTCTGTCTGCATGACCTGATGAAAGCTCATTTTCATCGTCATCACCACTATCCAATTGTTGCTTTCTTGGATATTAAAGCTGCCTATGACACTGTGGATAGACGTGTCATTTGGAATGCCCTTGTCAGATGATCCATATCACCTGCTCTTCTTGGACTTTTGGTCAACATGTTTGATGATGTGTCTATCTCTGTTCTTCTTGGCAATTTCTCCTCACATTCATTTTCACCAAAAACAGGCGTGCTTCAAGGTTCAGTTCTCAGGCTGCATCTATACTCTATTTACATCAACTCCCTGCCAGCTCTTCTTTGCTCAGTTGCATCTCCTCTCACTTCTACCCATGTGCCATCATCGTCTCCCTCCTCATTAGATGCATACCAGTCTCTTCTTGCTCCTCCAGATGTGAATGGCTACCAGCATGCAGTCTCATCAATGCCAATAAATACACTTCTTTTTGCTGATGATGTGGCAATATTTGGTTCTGCTCATGACGTTCAGGCTATGCTCCATTTGGCTGCCCAACACTCATTTACTCTTGGTTTTTGTTAGAGTCCATCTAAATGTACTATCATTTACCCTCCTTCTCGTTCTGCAAACCATCCAGATCTATCTCTATATGATGAGATTCTTCCTGCAGTGGAGGAATTTATATATCTTGGTGTTCTCTTTTGCAATAAAGGTATTCATGAGCCTTCTATTGTCACTCATCATCGTTCTGGAGTCCTGGCAACCATGGCAATGCTGAATGCAGTTGGAGTATGCTGGTCTGGATTCTCTCTGCTTCTCAGCTCTCGTCTGTATAGGACCTTTATCAGACCAAAATTTGAATATGGATTGGCTATTCTCCCTCTGAAAAGAACTGATACTATCCAGCTTGAGAAGATCCAAGATAAATGTTTGTGCATAATAGTTGGTGGGCACCAAACCTCATCTACCACTGTTCTCAAGCATATGTGTCTCCTTCCTAGTATGAGTTTTTGAGCTGATGTGCTGATAACCAAGTTTTGTATCCGTGCTCACTACCTTCCCTCTGGCTGCCTCTTGTCTCTTCTTCACCATCATTACTCTCAGTCCTCATCACTTGTCACTCTTTGTCATAATACTCTCCTTCAAAGCATTCCTATTGACTTAAATGTTCATAGTAGCAAAGCTCTGAAACGTCACTTTGAGACCTTCTGAAAATTCAAAACTGATGAGCTTCGATTGTCTTCAAACCAAGTCTTATTCTTAGCATGCCGCCCTCTTTTGGAAGTAGATCCTATTCTGTTCTTGCCTGCAACTAGGGTGGAACGTAGCCGCCTTGTCCGCTGGAGAATGGGTTGGTTGCCTGGCACTCCTAAGGATTGCCCTTGTGGTACTGACCATACCTCACGTTGTCATCTTGCTGTCTGCTCTTTGGTTTCTGCCCATTTGTTGGCCTGTCTTCCTATTCCATCTGATCAAAACTGTAATCCAATTGATTTTGCTATTACTGCTCTCCCAAATTCTAGTCAGGCTCCTTGCCCCTCTTATTGGGTAGCCCTACTTACTATTCTCTGGCATTTTGATAAGCTTTGTAATCCTGATGGTGACTACACTCATGAAACTCACTTTGGTACTCTTTGGGCTGAACTTAGCTAGTTTCCTTTCTTCTTCTTTTTCATTTTCATTTTCATTTTTTTTATTTTTTTTTCTTTCCTATCTAATTTTCTTTCACTTTTTATCTTTTCACACATAAACGGCTGCTTGCTTGAACTCCTATCTCCTCCCTTTCACTGTTACAGCATTTTTATACAGCTACAAAGTGGAGAGTAGGGTACAACTTTCAGCTTATTAGTGTTAGTTCTCTTCTTCTCTTTCTATTTTTTGTCTTTTTGTGATCCTTTTGGACTTTTTTTGCTTTTTCTTTTGTACTTGAGATGCTATATGATCTATAGATTGCCAGCAACATATCTCTTTAATAAAACATAATCTTTAACCTGAGCTAAAGCTGGGGATCTCTCTGACACAAGTGTTGTAGAATATTCTAGCATCGACCAAAAACATATATTTGTTTGATGTGACGTCAACTTATAGACAGACTATTAAGTTATGGACAGTGCAAAGTCGTAACTCCATCTCCAGACACAACAAAATCCGATTTCTTAGATTTATTTTCTCTCTCTCTCTTTTTCCTTTTTTCTTGCTATTAACATTTAAATTCCCGCTGGACTTTAAATGCTTTTCCCCTTTTTTCTATTTTTTTCTTGATTTTTATTTCCTTTTTAGCTTGCTCCCCTTTGCATTGCACTTGTTTCTTTACACTTCTTGATATTACTTCTTTAGTATGCTTCCCGAGAGTTCATATTTTTTAGTAGTTTGATTATTTTTATTTTTGATTATTTTTGATTATTTCTTTTTGTGATTATGCCCAAAGACCTGTACACTCTTCTAAATAATCATCATTTAGTATAAGATGTATCTAGATTGTCACCTTGTACGCAGTTGTCAATTAGTATATAAGAGAAACATTTTTATCCCAATAAAATTCATTCAGTTTCCCTCTATATTTCTTTTGAACATCATCACTGAGCTCGAGCTATTGTCCTGTGAGAAATATTAAGTTGCACACTGCTAGAATTTACAAGTACAGTCTCACCATTTGTCTGCTTGTCTGCTTGTCTGCTTGTCTGTTTGTCTGTTTGTCTGTTTGTCTGTTTGTTCGTTGTCTGTTTGTCTGCCTGCCTGTTTATCCATTTATCTATTTGTCTGCTTGTCCATTGTCTGTTTGTCTGTTTGTCTGTTTGTCTACTTGTTCGTTTGTCCATTTGTCCATTTGTCTATCTATCTGTTATCCATATATCTGTTTCTATCTATTTCAAGTCCTGTTTATTGTCTAAATTCCTTCTTGTTGGATTGTCCTGAGCGAAATCACAAGAATATATTATATTTCTGACCAGTTGCACCACACACCATAACTCAACACGTGTCATCTCTTTCACATAAGCTAACGTTACACAAGACATAACAAAAAAAGTGGTTGTATCCATATAAAAGCTTCATCAATCCGTTCTACATCTTGTTCAAAACGATATATCCATTGTCAAAAACATTGCATCTATTACCACCGTTGCCTTATCTATCAGCAGAAAAAATTTCAGCCGATTCCAACAACTTTTCATTTTTGCAATCTCAAATGTCAACATTGCTGCCATCCTCTGTCATGCAGGGAATGTCACCCGATCTCGCCTCATTTCTGGGGAACATGCGGACCCAATTCATGTCACTGCAACAATGCACCAATGAACTTGAATCAATTGGTGTGACTAATGCTAGATTAACTGCTCAATTAGTTAATGCGGAAAAGCTAATTGCTGATCTCAGATCTCAATTAGCATCTCAGGGCAATTACCCAATTACAACAAATGCATCAACATCATCTGCACCAACCACACCCAAGGAGCCTGGCACTGAGGTTTCTACATGGGCTACCACTGCTGCTGCTGCTCACAACTCTGTTGTTGTTCCTACTGCACTTTCAGTTCGCAAGACTCCAAGACCTCCTTCTGTTTGCCGAGTTGCTGCTTCTGCTAGAATGTTTGCCATTCCCACTGGTCCCAAAGGATATCAATATGTGTATATCCCACGTTCATGCCGTCTCACACATAGAGAAGTTCGCAACTCTTTGAAAACACTTGGTGTTGATACTGGCCGCATCTTGGATATCAATTTTTCTGCCAAGGATGTAGTTGGCATCCTAGTTCACAACCAGTATGCTGAGAAATTCCAGACCACTCTGACCACAGTTGCCATTGAGATCTTAGACGCGTTTGACCCTTTAGATCCCAAAAACATTGCAGATCCCAAATATAAGTCTCTTTCTGATTCAGAGCTAGAAGAAGTTGCTGCTGAGCTTCATTCTGATCGTTGTCTGAAGGCTCTCAAGTACCTTCGTCCTTATGTTGCTGTTCCAGTTGGTCATTTCTTTTGTGATCAAGGCTGGATCTCTAAGGAAGATATTCCTGTTCATTCTGTTTCTGGTCTTGGTGCTGGTATTCATGATTTCCAATCACCATCTCGTCGTACATCTATTGCAATGTCTGAATGAGTGAAATCTCATTAGGACTTTGGAATGCTAATGGTCTGCAGCCTCGTGCAATTTATGATGTTCTTCAACACTGTCACTCTTTACATATGCTTTTTATCACTGAAATATGGCTTCTCCCCCCATCTTGTCTCCCCACTTCTTGGTCCCAGATTCATCTTTATGGTTCACCTGTAGCTGGCAACTACAGAGGTTCTATGGGTGTTTCTGTTCTTATTTCTCCATTCTGTCCTTATCTTGTCACTCAGATTCTTATGTCATCTAACTATGCTTTGGCCATCAAGATTGGTTCCCTCAGAATTGTATGCCTGTACTTACTGCCCACTATGTCCACCCATGATGCTCTTGCAGTTCTCTCATCCATTCCTTTGACCAATGACACTATCATATGTGGTAATTTTAATTCACATTTGGGTTCACTTACTGGTTACTATGCTACTAACACTCGAGGTCTTGCTCTTTGCCAATGGTTAGAAGAACGTGCTCTTACTTTTGTCAATGGCCAGCTCTCACCATGCACATCTACATTCATTTCATTCCGCCAAAATGTGGAGATAAGCAGTATCATTGATCTGTTTATCACTAATATGTCCCTCACCAATGCCACTCTCAACATTCATACCAACCTCTCACTCAACTGTGACCACCGTCTGCTTTCACTTTCATTTACATATGCTATCAATCCAACATCACATGCACCACCACCATCTCGCAAAACATGAAACCTCTCACATCTTCAAGAACCTGATGTTCTCAAACTATATGCTCACACATTTGTCACTAATTCTGCCAACCTCAAATCCACTTTGCAATCGACCTTCAAACACCCTCCTTCCTCACGTCTACCAATTGATGCACTAACTGATGAATTCAACTCACTCATTTACAATTCTTTAAGTAGCTCAATTGGCAACCGTCCTCCCCATCCTTCCCACTGGAAAAAATTGTGGAATTCAGCACTCCAAGCAGCTGCAGAGCACCGCAATTTCTGCTACAAGAAATGGCGCCGTGCATGTGGCATAGACAAAATCCATTGGTGGGATAAGCATCTCAAAGCGCAGGCAGAATTCCGACATCAAGTTCAATCATCTAAGTGCCAATCATGGCATGCTTTTTGCAGATCACTAGAGCACGACTTCTCAAAGGCAACATCCAAAATCAAGCAACTTAAACAACAACGTCAACCTCAGCATGTGTTTCAACACAGTGATGGACCAGCAACAGCAGCAACAATTATGTGTGAGCATCTTGCATCTGTATACAGTGGCAGTATCCTCCCAGATCAGCGCCCTCCTCCTCCTCATCTTCACAGCAACAGTCTGCCTTTTGCCTCTGCCAACTCGCCATTTGTTTCTTCTGTGATAGAGGGATGCATGCAATTTATGCCTAACTGCAAGGCACCAGGCCCAGATCACATCAGAGCAGAAATGTTAAAAGCCATTCGTCGACAAATTGCTCCCATACTCTCTCTCTTATTCACTATCTGTTGGCAATAGTCATATGTACCTGTTCTTTGGCGTCAGGCACAAGTTTTTCCGATGTACAAAAAGGGTGACCCTTCTCAAGCATCTAATTATAGACCAATTTCATTGACATCAGTTATCAGAAAACTAATGGAAATGTGTCTTGCTCCTGCTCTGCATAAGCTCTCACCACCTTTAGATGTTGCTCAAGGAGGCTTCCGTCCTAGACGTGGTGCATTAGACCAAGCTCTCTGTTTACATGACCTCATGAAAGCCCATTTTCACCGTCATTATCATTATCCAGTTGTAGCATTCTTAGACATAAAAGCTGCCTATGATACAGTAGATCGCAGAATCATTTGGGATGTTCTTGCTCAACGTCAGACACCACCTGCTTTGCTTAGACTTATCAATATGTTTGATGATGTCTCTATATCTGTTCTTCTTGGCAACTTTTCTTCTCATGCATTCACACCAACCACAGGCGTCCTTCAAGGTTCAGTTCTCAGTCCGCATTTATATTCCATTTACATCAACTCCCTGCCGCCTTTACTTCGCACAGTTGCATCATCTCTCACCTCTATGCATGTTCCATCCACTTCTCCTTCCTCCTTAGATGCATACAACTCTCTTCTTGCTCCATCAGATGTGAATGGATTTGGATATATTCAGTTGCCCATAGCCATCAACAGTCTTCTCTTTGCTGATAGTGTTGCAATATTTGGCTCTGCCTCTGCTATTCAGCTCATGCTTGATCTTGCAGCTCAACACTCATATAAACTTGGTTATCGTTGGAGCCCTTCAAAATGTGCTATCATTTACCCACCGTCACGCTCATCAAATCATATAAACTTGACACTATATGATGAAGTCGTTCCTGCAGTCCAAGAATTTGTTTACCTGGGTATCCCATTCCACAACAAAGGCATTTGTAAAGCTTCTATTGTGTCTCACCATTGTGCTGGTGCTCTTGCCACAATAGCAACACTTAATTCTGTTGGTGCATGTCATTCTGGTTTTTCTTTACTCCTTAGCTCAAGGCTTTACAAGACATTTGTCTGACCCAAATTTGAGTATGGCCTAGCTATTTGTGCTCTTCTCAAGAAAGACTACATAATTCTTGAATGGATCCAGGATAAGTGCCTGCGTATGATTGTTGGTGGACATGCTACCTCTTCTACTATGGTTCTAAAACATATATGTAACTTGCCTCAGATGCATTTTCGTGCCAATATTCTTATCACCAAATTTTGTATTCGAGCACATTCTCTTCCTTCTGGTTGTTTGCTTTCTTTGCTTCATCAACATCATCCACAAGTTTCTACACTTCGATCTTTGGCATTAAACTTTCTTCTTCATAGTATTCCTGATAATATTAACTGCACTAGCCAAACACAACTTACAAAACACTTTGAATCCTTCAGACAGAACTTATTCAATCAATTTCGCTTGTCCACTACTCAGGTTTTGATACATACATGCTGCCCGGTATTGGAAGTTGACCCAATATTGTTTCTTCCAGCAACACGCACTGAACGTAGCCTTCTGATTCGTTGGTGCATGAGTTGGTTGCCTGGTAAACCAAAGGAATGTGCATGCAGCTCAGATCATACATCACGACGTCATCTTCAATTCTGTACCTCAATTCCACCACAATTAATTGCCAAGCTTCCAATACCACCAACCTTTGAGGACAATATCATTGACTTTGCTATATCGGCATTGCCAATCTCATCTGCCAATCCCTGCCCCCTATATTAGAAAGCTCTGCTCACTATTCTCTGGCATATTGATATTCTCTGCAATCCAAATGGTGATTACACACATGAAACAGATCATGGTTCTCTTTGGCACTAGCTATAATAGTTTAATCTCTGTTTTCTTTTCCTTCTCTTCTTCTTATTTTTGTCTTTTCATTTATGAAATGTTTCTAGATCTGCAACTCTGTCTCCTCCCTTTCACTGTTACACCTTTTTACACAGCTGCAAAGTGGAGATCAGGCTCAGTCTTTTAGCTTAGTATTGTTTATTTCCCTTCTTCTATTCATTTTTTTGTCTTTTGTAATCCTTTTGGACTTTTTTTATCTTTTTCTTTTGTACCTGGAAGGCTATATGATCTATAGATTGCCAGCAATATCTCCTTTAATAAAAATAATCTTTAACCTGAGCTAAAGCTGGGTTGTTGCTTTGTTACATGTGTTGTGGGCAGGTACGGCGTTTGGCCATGTCGTGGTGTCTAGTACTGGAAGGTCAGTCTGCTCGGTGGGTTTGTCCGGCGGTTTGTTGTGACGTGTTGTCCCAGTTATGAGAGGCTGACGTCAACGGTTTGTTGATGTGATGCTGTGCCCTTGGTGGTAAGAGGAGAATTTTTCCGTGCACAGGAAAAATCTCGTTTCCATTCCCTGTTCCTTCTACACACAATACTTTTTCCTTTTCCCTTGTTAATATATTCGTCTATATTGTACTCATTCGAAATCATGGTTCCCCATGCTAGTAACATTCCTCTTCTACAATGCACATAATTCATCTTGCCAACATCTCCGTGCAACATCAGTACCTTTATTATTATATTTTTACCATATTTTTATTCATATATTTTATTCTTGCTGTATCAATTATTCATTATTCTATTTTTACTATCTTTATTTTTCCGAACTTCTATTATCAACTTAAAATCTTGTCAACTATAAAAAGAGAAGCAAACTCAACTCAATAAAGGAGGCATTCAGTTTCAGTATCTTTTTCTTGTTTTCTTCTCTTTGCGGTCTATACCATCTTGCAACATAACATATCGGTTCCTTGGTTTTAGGAAGGTTGTTTGTTGGTTTTGGTCTCCTCATCAGTTATTACTTTTCTGTTTTGTCATTCTCTTTTCATATACCTTTCTCTCCCTCTTAATTTTAACAACGATTCTATTAATTGTTCTCTCTTTTCTTACCTGTTAACTATTGCTGCTTGCCACCTTTTGCTGTATCCATCTTCTGTTCTATTCTATTATAATTGTATTTTATTTGCCAAGTGATCTATTACAATCTACAACAAACCTAACACATCACGCATCAGCTTACTTAGTACAGTAGGTAAACCTTTGTACTCCAAATGAAAAGATCGCGGGTTCAACCTCTGGAAGCTACACATTTATCTGGGTCTATACACCTGGTTCCCTCCTTTGACCTTACTGTCATGGTGTTGCGTCAAAAGCGCTAATGCCTGAGTGCAGCTGCTGTCCTACTGTCTTTCCTGTCTCCGCAAGCCATTGGTTCTTCTGTCTCCTGTCCCATTGAGTTTTGCTGACATTCTTGTCTGATCTTGTCTGGTATTGGTGCCCTTTGCTGGCTGCAATTCACGATGTCTGTCATAGGCTTAATAAAGCATGTTCTCTTCCTATTTAAGACTTTGTCAAAGAATTAGCTTATAGTCAACAATAATTTTTTCTCCTATCATTTCTCTTCATGTAATAGCTTTCTCAATTATGTTCTGATCACAGCTATATAATCTGTAGATTGCCAGCATTACATGATATAATAGAAATAATCTTTAACCTGAGCTAAAGCCGGATAGTTGCTTTTGACACATGTGTTCTAAACAAGTGCAGCGTTGGCCAGTTTCTGGTGGTGAACATTGGACAGTGGGTTCTTCCAGTGGTTTGGTCTGGTGGTGAGCCGTGATGGGTGGTACCAGACTCTTGGACATTGATGTCAATGGTGAGTCGACCAAGTGACGTGTCTTGAGGGACAGGAGTGGTCCCCCCAGGTTCTTGGGAAATCTTGTTTCCATACCCCTTATACCATATCTACTTATTTCCTTGCACACCAAGTTTAAATTACTTGGGGGGTCAACTTTTTTATGTCACAAAGGGCTTTAAATTATAAGGATGTGGCTTTTTCATATAGAGATTTTGCAAGGTGGCTTTTGTTAAAACATTTTTTTTGCTATGTTTTATTTTCTTCTCTTATCTTTATTTTAATTATATATACTCTCCTAATACGAGCTCACCAATGTCCAACACTATATTCAACCTTTCAAATGTGCAGAATGCTTTAGTCAACTCACCTACAAAAGGAATAAAAATGCTTCCTTTGGATGTTGTAGTAAAAGTAAAAGCAAGTGAATGGGAGCAATACCTTGACCGCATTCAATCACTTTGTTCAACAAAGTGGAATAAATGTAGAAAACTTTGTGCAAGAGAATTAATATATGGAGAGACAAAAAAATGTCACCAAGCAGGATTTTATATATCAGATAGAAATGTTTGTCTTGCTCAGAAAGACACTAAGCTTTATTATTGCGAAGCCACTATTTTCATCAAGCAATACGTCAACAACCCTGAAGTAGTTTTAATTTGTATGACCAATAATCATACCAACCATGTTCCTGACAACACTTCTGAAATTAGAACATTGCCTTTATCTTCTGAGGCCATCAAAATTATTGAGGATCAGTTAAAAGGGGGCAGCACCTATAGAAATACTAGAATTTCAGTTTTGAAACAAATTGAAGAGTGGGGTATAAGCATTAGAAAGCCCAATTATGAAGACATCTATAACAGAATGAGAAAGATGTGTGAATAATACTATAAGAGAGAAGTCATTTAAAAAGTATTAAATGAAAAATATAGATGAAGAATATACTGTATAAGTTCCACTCTGATGAAAATAAGTCTCTGGATATTTGGATGCATGAGAAGTTACCATCACAGAACTATTGTATCTTTACTGGCAATCTTTCTGCATACAGCAACAATGCACAGAATTTTGCATTTGGATTTCCATCACCATCTCAAATGATGCTAATGAGAATTTACCAGTCATTTTGTCTTGATACAACATACAACATCTCTGCACGCAACATTGAAATATTATACTCACTTGTTACTCATCATCCTGATACTGGAAAAGGTTCTCCTGTTGCATACATGATTATAAACAATCATAGTATTAGTTCTATTAATCAATGACTTGTACATCTTTGCGAGAAAAGCTGTTTCACTCCCTTATACACTCACAATCAAAAACGTTTCAACCCCTGCAAAAAATGCCTAAAAAAATCGAAAAATAAAAATAAAAACATTGTTTTCTCTCAATATTATTAATCAAATCCAACATGCAAGACGCAAATTCATCAGAAAACACCCATGGATCATATGAAAAGGCCAATCCCTATAAATACAGATGTATTATGTACATGTATTTAGCAAATTACGGGGCGACCCAGATTTCATTGGTGGTTGGCATGAGTCTGTCAACTGTCAAGTACATCGTTAAGAGAGTGGACAAGACAGGATCGCCTGAGTCAAGAAAAGGGTCCAGACAACCTAGAAAGATTGATGAGAGGACAGAAAGACACCTTGTTCAAATAGTTTGTAAGGACCCCTTTGCCTCATTTTCTAGGCTAAGGGCTTCCTTAAAGAACATGGAGGTATTTGTCTGCAGAAAGACAATAATCAGTTTTCTGAAGCGTTTGGGCTTCAGATCATATATCGCAGCTCACAAGCCAGCTTTAACCAAAAGCCACAAGAAAAGAAGGCTGGAATGGGCCCGTGAGCATGTGAATTGGACAGATGACCAGTGAAGAGGTGTAGTGTGGTCAGATGAATCATGGTTCACAGTTGAGGGTAATGATGGAGGAGCTAGAGCTATCAGGAAAGTCAGCAAAAGGTTCAAGAAAAAAAATATCATCAAAGAAACCAAGTGAGGGAAGGGTAGTGTGATGATCTAGAGCTGTTTCTGGGCCAGTGGTTTTGGCCCTTTGGTGTTCCTAGATGGTAACGCAAACCAAGATCAATACGTAAACACTTTGGCTCAGAACTTCCTCCCTTGGTTCCAAAATCTTTCGTGGGAACAAAACAGGAGCTTTGTGTTCCAAGAGGATAACGCCAGCTGTCATACTGGGTTGTACTTGAGGTGGTGGAAAGATAGCCATGAGATCCGAGGTTTTGACTACTGACCCACTCAAAGCCTGGATCTCAACTCTATTGAGCATCTCTGGTGGGCTCTCAAGAGGCGCATGAGTGATGAGAGGGCCAGTATTAACAATGTTGAAGATCTGAAGGTTGTAATGCAAAGAGAGTGGTGAAGGATAGGTCTCGAACTTTCATCAACTTTGGCTGGAAGCATGCAGCATCGATGCCAGGCTGTAATTGAGGCCAAAGGAGATCATACGAAGTATTGATCTTTTATTTTTTTCTATATTTCAATAATAAACATATATATAATCTTTTATTTGAAGTTTGAATACTTTAGCTTTTATTACTGAGGAGCAGTTGCATGTTGAATACATGCCATGATTTCTCTCATGCATTTTTTGGGCTCAGAGATCGAAACGTTTTTGATTGTGACTGTATATTACTATCGATTGTAGTATTGCTGAAGTTAATGCAATTACAGCAGCATTGCCACAGACCATCATCCATTTCTGCAAGTTTCATATTTTGCATATCTGACAGCATAATTTAGACAGCAAAATAAAGCTTGATGCTTCATACACATCAGAACAACTTAGCAAATACAAGTATGAGCTCAATGTCAATCTCAAAAATATACTTATTGAATCAGATGAGGATGAATTTTTGAAAAAATCCAGGAGTTTAGGCTTTGTATACAAAGTCAGCAACAATTCCTGGCTTATTTCAAACATAAATTGATTGGAACAGAAGAATTGTTGAGAAGATAGGGAAGGCCATATGTTGCAAATGACCACCAAAGATATTTGGCAAACAATTATATCGAATCGTGACACAACCAATTGAAAACAATATACTTTGGCCGTACTCACATAAGACGATTGGACCATCTTGTCTTTATTTTGACAAACTATGTGGAGTTCTTTTATGATGAAGAAGTGGAACGAATCCACATACAAAATGAACAAATGGGTCCAATTGAAAATGAACTTGCTCAACACTTGTGAAGTTTTATAGAATAAAATCAACAGTAAAAAAGATTGAGACGTATATAAGAATACTTTGAGACTGTATATAGATTGTCTTTATTAAAGAATACAAAGTTGTCCTTTTTATATCAAAACACGATCTGCTTTGTCAGTCACATCTTAATTTCTTAAGTCTGAGTTCATTTAGATATTAGAGAGCTGGTACTGCTATGTTTATAATTTAATCTAATTGCAGTGTTCTCATATTAACTCAGTGCTTACTGAGCTGTCATAATTACAGTACTTACTATAATTAATTATTGGTCTTATTGATTTACCATAAGTAAAATAAATAAATTATTCATTTGTTCTTATAATAATAGCTGTTTTACTATAATAATAGGAATATGTTCTTAGATGTAATAAATCCAATAACCAAGTGTCTGGATCACCACAGCACTCTTTTTCTGTCAATACCATACAAGATGACATGCTCCCTTTCATGATCATTAATTCTCTTAATGAGATTGGCAATAGCATGGAGAACTCTAATGGCAAGTGGACAGTAAAGTCATTTACAGGTGAAACACAATAGTATCAGGTTAATGTATCAAACAATCTGATACAAAATTGCACTTGTTCCAATTTTGCTTCACGTCAAATTCCCTGTAAACATGCACATCTCCTAAAGAGATTTATTGGTCTAGACTTTGCGTATACAGTTCAAAGGGAAAACAACCACCTCCAACTGCAAAGATTGCTTGCATCTGAGCATGAAGTGGCAGTTGTTAATGAGAAAGTTGAAAATGAAACAAACACAGTTGTTGTAAGTGGTAGAAACAATTCTGTTTGGTTGCAAAGAATCATAGCCCAAAATACAACACTTCATCATCAAAGAGAAGACTTAGAGCAGTTGATGAATGTTCCAGAAATTGATGAAGCCGAATTACAAGTGATTAGTGATTTACTTGGGGAAGCAATGAATTGTATAGACACTTTTAGAAATGCAAACTCTTCCTGCTTTAGAAATCATAATACACAAAGATAATAAAAAAATTACAATTATGTTCTATAATAATATGTTTTGATAAAAAGAAAAAAAAATCTAAAAAAAAAACATTAAGATTCCAAAAGAAACAACAAAAGTAAAAGCTGTCACTGCTTCTACACATCCTTATAATTTAAAGCCCCTAGCAACATAAAAAAAGTAGATCCCCCAAGTAATTTAAACTCGGCGCACAAGGAAATAAGTAGGTACCTTATACCCAAACCCCCAATTTCATTCTGTTTCTTAAATAATTAGAATATCTATCTACATCATCACCTCAGAAATACCTGTCACCCACTAAAAATTATACTTCTTTCCCCTAATTTTATACACTTCTTTCTCGCTGATATTTATTTACAATATTTTTTATTACATTTTTATTAGACTTCATTATTATACTATTATTCTATTTTTTTACTTTACTTTACTACACTGTTATTATATTATTACTTTACTTCTATTCTATCTCACTATATTTTTACTTTACCTTTATTCAATTACTATATTTTTACTATACTTTTATTTTATCCTCTCTATACTTTTCTATTCCACTTCTACTATCAACACCAGTTACATATAGTAAAATGTTTTACTTGACTTTCTTTTATTTCCCTCAAAAAATTATTTTAACCAAACATTTTTGTTTATAAAAGAAACAACTTTTTTAATCAATAAAATTATCATTCTATCCTTGATCTTATTTATTTTTGTCTGTTATTATCATTATTCTTCATTTATACACAGTGTCTTTGTTCTTTGGAGTGTTGTCTGTCGATCTTGATATATTTGGTTTCTCTGTTTTCTCTTTTCTGTCTGTCTCAAACTTTGTTGTGGTCACAATTTCCATTTTTATTTTCTCCCTATTTTTTCTACCTGTCTGCCACCAATTCTTACCTGTCAAATTACCTATTCGCTTCTATTCTTATTGTATTCTTCTTCTTGTATTTCATAATTCATATTACATTTATTTGCTAAGTGATACTGTTACAATTCACACATCAAATTGAAGGTCGTGCTAAGGAATTCTTTTTCCATTTTTTTAAACTTATCTTACTCAAACTGTGCTGTGGAATATGCCTCCTTCTTCTTCTCCTGCTCCCATGAGAGAACGAAAATCATCCAACATCTCCAAGTACCTCTTGGCTTCGGAAATGTTTGTCAGTGGCCCAAACGGCGAGTCTCTTTCCTGGTTACTGCATATGAATCAACTAAAGAAAGGTGTTGGTATGACCAATGAAGAAGCAATTCTGGTAGCAGCCACTCACTTCTATGGCATGGCTGCCAAGTGGTGGGCCATCCATGAGGCCAAAGTCACGACGTGGGAAGTCTTCTTAGAGGGGTTCAAGAAGCAGTTTGCCTCCCAGCAGATGGAAGACGTCTGGTGGACCGAAATCGACAAGACAAGGCAAAGCATGGGACAAAGCATTGGTGAGGTAGCTCTCCACCTGCAAGAGCTTTTTGGTCTAGTCGCTTTGGCCAATGAGGCCCAGAAAATCTGGATTTTATTGAAAGCTCTCCGTCTGGAGATCACTTATGAGGTGGAGAAGTCTGGTCTTTCTTGCTTCTGAGACGAGTTGGTTCGTTGGGCCACTAAGGTGGAGGTGGTCAAAGAGAAGTATTGTCGTTCTGGTTTGTGCCCAGTCCCTGAGTTTGGTCACTTCTCCAGACAAGGTTTGGTGTCCAAGAACTCCTTCGTGGAGGATGCCCTCTCTGAGCTCATTCAAGAATTCAAATCTATAAAGATCCATTTGGTTAACACTCGTCATTACCTTCCTCAAGCTTCTAGTTCTTCTGGATTTGGTTTGCCTGGCTTTGGTAGTTCTGGTGCTGGTGGTTCTGGTTCTGGCTTTGGTGGTTCTTGTCCTGGTGGTTTTTGTCCTGGTGGTTCTGGTGGGTTCTCTGGTTCTGATCCTCAAACTTATCATTGTTTCTGGTGCAGGGAAGAGGGTCATATCAAACCCAATTGCACCAAGCGTTTGAACAAGGACAACGATTTGGGAAAAGGTCAAGGGCGTCAGTAAGTTTTGCTGATGCCCGTAATCAACCTAAGGTGTCTGTCTCTAAGGACACTGCTGTCAACATAGTTGAGACCGCTCTGGTGTAGGCTGCTGAACTTGCTAGGGTGGTTGACTCATCGTCTTTTAAAGGTCCATACACTTGTAACAAAGGAAAGGCTGTTGAAAAAACAGTACCATTACACACTCTCTCAAACACGCTTCTGCTGCTTCAACAGCACTTATATGCACAGGGTCAGCTTAACACTTTCCCTACCAACAATACCTATATGACTTCAGCTTCTGATCTCTCTCCTCCTGTTCATTCTTCCCCTTTGGCCCCCAAGCCCCATCATTTGCGTCCGCCTCCGAGAGAACTCCCAGTACACATCAGTCACAAAGATGTCTGGGAGAGACTGAAGAGCGTGGACGCCAGTCTTTCTCTGGCCAATTGGCTTCTCTTAGACAAGTGTGCGTCCAAGGACGTCAAGGACAGCTTGCGTTTCTTATCCGGCTGGAAGCAGAAGGTTGTTGCCTCTGGGGTGAACATGGTCCATCACCAAGAGGAATCGTCAGACGGCGAGTCTTTTTATTCAGACGATTGGGAAACCCAGTCCCTGGAGACCGATGCAGCAAACCTGAATTCCAATAGCAAGCTCAATGGATATGACAGCAATGACACAGTCTACAACTATCACTACAACTATAAAGACTTTGCGTCAAGTTAACCTCTGCACTGGAAAAAAGTAGGAAAATACTGACATGTATATATGGGCAAATGGTACTGGAATAACGTGATATATCATAGTTGATATTCTTTTCCACTAGGTTTTAAGGTCATCTAGCACTGTATGTGTGAGACTTACAAACACTACAGTATATGTAAATGGGGGGTTTCTCAAGTAAGGTTTGGTAGCACTTTTGATATACTTGTTATGCTTAATAAATAAATAGAAATATTTAAAACTATGGATTTATCTCAGTATTCTTGACATAGAACAGGAAAGATCAAATACGGATTATGTCATATATATTGCTCTAATGGTTTATCTGTACTACATCTCATCTTTACTGACCACCTTTACTGACCATCTATACTGACAGTTCTTTAAAACCTCAAATCAACAACAACAAAAAAATACATCTTTAAAATTATGGACCAGTTATATATTTTTTATTTATTTGGTTTCCCATTCTTATTAGGCTGGTAATGTTTTACACTTTTATTTTTATTGGAAAGAATAGAATGTTTCTAGGTTTCAAATCTAATAAAGCTATTTTATATCCCCAGCTACTTTTTGCTCAGCCGGCTTGTTATATTTGGGATGAAAATTTTTCTACAAAAAACAAATACTTGAAGAAAATGAGGTGCACGTTACCTTTTTTTAGGGGTAAGATCAGTACCATTTGAGAATAGATAAAGCATTAGTGATGGGAGTGCGTGCGTGTTTTATACTGAAAATTTTATGTACTAATTAATACTTACATTGGAAATACCCAGTATAAATGGACAAAGAAATAAAACATTTACAGTAAAGCATGGGATTATGATTTCTTTGACTATAAAATAATAGGAAAGAATTAATTTTTGTGAATTGCATGATAAAATAATTGATTTACACACCAAAGGCAAAGGATTTTTTTGCAGACCAAGATATTATCTGTAAAGCAATAATATCATCTCTACTAGAGAATATACATTAATATACAGTATAAATAATATTATTGTATGTATAGAAGTAAATAAAGGCTTACCATGGCAATGACAATAGCATGAGATAGAAGTTCTTGAGGCATGGCACATTCATAAGAGGGATGTTCATCTATAATAGAAATTATATTCAGTTAGATAAATATTAAAAAGAAATATATTAAAATAAAATAAAATATTACTATGTCAATATCTGTGTTTGATTGTAGAGAGTATTTTTGGCGATGTGGCCTATGTTAAAGAAAGAAAAAAGTCAGAATGATTGTATGGAATGATAGCATAAAGTATATTTACTAACCCTGGCTAATCTGGATGACTGTTGTGAAGATGGCGCATCAGAATGAAATGAAAAGTGAGTTTCTATGATATTAAAATATATTGTTATTTTTTAGCTATATATAAAAAAGTATATATTTCTTTTAAAACAAAGAAAGTGCCTTACCATAAAACCTTGCGAGTGTAAAAAGTGAAGAGAGAGAAACAGAGAGAATACCTATGACAGACAAAAAAATTAATTCTTTTGTTCTTTGTAAAGAAGTATTTTGAACCAAAAACAATCTTACCAGAAAAATTTGCAAATATAACAAGAATTGAAAAGAGAGAGAAAAGAGGGAAATAACAAAAAACAAATAAAAAAAGCAAAAAAAAAATCTTAAAAAAAAAGAAAAAAGTGTGTTTAAAACAAAAGACTAAAATGATTTCATCAAGTCCCAAAGCAATATGAAAACCAATTTACATCCCAGTCATTACAAGAAGTATTAATAGAGATTGTTATATTAAATATATTTTGAATATATATAATAACCATACCTTTCATATAATATACTTTCCCTTGCTCTTACTCTCTTGCTACTTACTACATTTATACTCTCAAATAAACACACTTGTTCTAACAATTCAAGTATGTAAGCTTGATACAATTTACTTTTAATTTAATTTAAATAAATTTAATTGTAGAATGACAGCAATAATAATAATATAATCTGAAACTAATCACTATAATGTTTCATTTTATTATATTCTGTAGACAATGACTAACATAAGACGTGAATGCACAATTGCCTTTCGTCCTGTTGAGACTACCAATCAGCAGCTTATGAAAATACTTTCTACTGTGAGAGTGGATATGTCTACCATAAAAGGACAAATCGGCAATGTTGAGCAAACTCTGACCAACATGAATGGCAGAATTGGCGTTCTTGCCACCACCAGCACCAACACCATCAGTGCCATAGATAGTTTGGCCAGAGCTCCCCTTGCTGCTCCTGTGAGAGCCGAACTCACTGTTGCTGCACCTGTTGTCATCTCCAACCATGAGCCTACCTGTGAAGAATCTAATGCAGTTTATGTGAGTAACATATTATAAAATATTTTATTAATTCATTTTCTCATGATTTATTTATCAGGCACATATTCACAACCCTATGTAGAAACCCAAGCTTAGCTTGAGAACGCCAGAAAATATCCTGGCCAACAACCTCAAGCCCAGATGGGATACAAATGTTCCTTTCAACAAATCTCCTGACAGAGAGATAGCCGAGAGACTTCTTTCTAACCTTGAGTGCAGGTTTGGTTCCTCTAGTATGAGATGGAGTGACCTCCAAAAGAGGTTGCACACCAACTTCACTAGTAGAACCTGTTGTGAGAGAATGTCTGACAATGAGATAGTAGAAACAAACACTCTTACACAAAGAGCAGCCCATGCAGATGATGTGAGTATTATGCTAATATATATAGTTTATAGTTGAAAATTAAAATTAAAAATAACAAATTAACAAAACTTATTACTAGAATAAGTGTTACCATATACTGGCATACAAAGACAATAAGGAGACCATTGATCTTGTATTGCTCAGAGACTGTGCCAACACTCTCCAAAAAGCAGTAATGTCAGATGGAGAGTCTGCCAATGAAATGGACGAGGATGGCATAAAACATGTCATTCATATTATACAACCGGGCTGGAGAAGCGATGAGGTAGATTAATTTGGAGTAATACTTTTGTATTGGTATATTATTATATTGAGTGAATTATTAACAAATATATTTCAGTGCAACCGTTTCATTGCACTTGTTGACACTTATGCTGTCCAGGCTATGGGGTCAAGTGCTAATCAAAGGATTCATAGGATCACTACTAGTGTGTCCAACTCAGCAGTCCCAAATAATATTAGCTCCAATTTTCCTCGGTGGGCTCTTAGAGACGGGCTCTGAATAAAAAAAATGTTTCTTTCTTTTTATCTACGTATTACTTTTTACATACAAAATACTATCAATATATATAGGGAATTTGTTCTGTTTTTTTTGTATAAGAAAAGGAAATTCAAGTGGGGTTTTTTTATTTTAAGCATAAAGCTTTTTTGGCAAAGCAATTACTAACCTCTTACTAACATTTCTATTTGTAGTAATCCCGGCTGTAGCAATCTCTAAAAAGATGTGGTGCACAGGTACAATGCAATGGTGACTATCAGGAGAGAAGGTGGGAAGACAAAACTCAAGACCGTCATCCTCACGCGATCTATCAGAGGAAGTATTAAACCACTTGATATATGCAAATACATGTTGATGATCATGAACCATGCGAGTCAGATGGAGATTGCTGTTAGAAGGGTGTGTAAAGAAGTGTGTGAAGAGATACTGTATTTGTCCAGCATAGACTAGGGTATTTCTACTGTCACTACCAACAAACATTACGTGGACAAGAGAACCACAACTAGCTGAACCGTTTTTACCATGGTACTGTTGACCAAGTAAGTCAATAAACTTCAACTTTGTGATTTCATTGTCAACAAAGGAGTTTGTAAGCGTGGCATATTGATAACTGACAAGGTCGGGAAGATCATAGGATGTTTTGTAGTGCTGAAGCAGATAGGCATAGTCGGTTTCATCCATCAGTGATGATTTTTTTAGCTGAAGAGAAAAAGTCGAAGGAGGGAGAGGTTCGTTACCCTTTGGAGAAAGATGTGGGTTGGACGATGCTAGTAAGAATGATTGCAATTGGAATGGATGGAAGGAGAGGGTAATGACTGTGGTGGTAGATGTGAATTTCGGAGAAAGCTTTGAGAGAATGTTGAAAAGGGGACGTGACTAGAACTTTTCAGAACAGCATGGACATAGTCACCCTTGAATGCATTTTGAACAAAACTTCTCATATATGTTGTCTCAAAACTATCTTTTCCATTTGTCTTGATATGCTTCAACAGACCATTGTATCTCTCAAACCCAAAGAGCTAGTAACCGTACACAGGTCCAAAATCACAAATGGTCTCGCGAAGATGGAGGTGCAGGTACATGTTGCAGGTAAGGATGGTGGGAGTGTAGAGTTTGGTAGCCTTTTTACAAAACATTTCCAGATAGTTGTGGGCACTGTTCACTTCATCAAATGTGATGCTTGACTTGATAAGATAGTGGCATGCATGGACAAAATTCATCCAGTTGTTGTACATTTCAAATGGTAGAACACTATGCAGAAGAACAGAAGAATACACCAGTACCCAGGATTTCCAGTCGTCAGCTTTCATGTAAGGAAAGCCTTTTCCAATCTTTGATGTCAGCTTTGTATGATCTCTCAGAAGGACCATTGTCTCTGCGATTATTTCCATGGCAGCAAACTCTTTGGCTCCAATTGTTTTCTTATCAACCCACTGGTCCATCATTCTCTTTGGCGTCCCCAGGAATAAATTATGCATGGGATCAATGATCATTCCACGTACTAGATCAAAGTATCCAAGGTGTTGCAACTGCAACCATCAAACATCATATTTGACCTCCAGCTGGTGTCTTTCTGAGGGTGTACTCGCACTCTTCCACTTCTCAGCATGTAACCTGTTCTCTACACCCCTATGAATATTCCAAAGAGAATAATCGAATCCACTGAAGTCCATCTGATTTGTGTTGGGAAATCTGGGGAACTGGGTTATACACTTGTAGCACGCACATGTACTATTGTGGACTGTAAATCTACTTGTTTTCCTGGCAGCAGGGATGTCACACGCAACCATCAGCAAGGCAGCACAGACATTAGCACCAGAAGGGCACTCATAGATCGGGACTCGCATTCCAACATACAACTGTTTCATCTCGTCTACCATAGGCTTGAGATTATTATTTATCTTCTTGAATCTTGGCTCCTTGGGACCAGGCATCAGACCAACCAGAATTGTGTTCTCAGGCTTGAACCGTACCTCTCGAGGCAGATTATTTACAACCAAGTAAATTGCACCAGAAGAGTAACTAACTCCATCAAACGGCTGGAACCAGTCTATGTTGAGTGTCAATATCAATGAGTGAGAACAAGCAACAAACGAGACACCACTTGCATCCTTCAGCTCTTTTCACATTGCTTCATTGTATACACTGCAAAAGACTGACAATTTGATAATTTAATACAGTTTTATTAGCGTTGTTAAATTTTCAAAAAAAATAAAAAATAAAAATTATATTTTTTTTTTGGTTATAAATTTTAATCTTTTTTTTTTAGCTGTAAAATTATACCAGCATCACTTTTTCCTCTGTATTTTATGTGTCTTTAATATCATTGTAAATTACACTCAAAAAATATTTATATTAAAAGTATTATATACTTAAAGAAAAGTAAAATATTTTTTATTTAATACACCTTTTTTAGATAAAACTAGGGGAGTGGTGCTCCCCCCCTCTCCCCTCCCTTTGGGGGGGCCCCATGGACTCCCCTCCCTGGCGGGGGACCCCAGAGCCTACCGGAAGTTAATATAAAACCCTTCCCTATTGGAAGTCTAAGTACCATATAGCACAATTAATAGGAACATTTTATTTGAGTGAATTTTATAAAAAGAAAGGATATGTATAAATGTTTTATTATTCAAAAAAAATTGGTTAGATGAGTTTATAGTGTATGTTATATAAAATTTTTTACTAAATGTCAAAGACTTCCTTAAATACAACATTGTCTATAAATACAGTATTTGCCATTTCGTTGGAATTTGCTGGTGTATCAAGCATTATCTTGATTGTAGAAGGTTTTCTGACCCAGGATAGAGCAACATACAGCTGGCCATGGGAGAATACTGGGGCAGGGAGATATAATCCAATGCTCTCAAGAGTTTGACCTTGTGACTTGTTTATTGTCATTGCGAATGCAAGACGAACTGGAAATTGGAACCACTGGAATTCAATTTCACTATTTGATCCAGATGGATTAAGCTTTATTCTTGGAATAAGCCATACTTGCCTGGCATTGGATCCAGTCACAATTGTTGTTCTGATGACAGATGTTCCAAAAGAGTTGCAAATCAGGTGTGTACCATTACAGAGACCGTTTTTTGGGTCAAGATTGCGAAGAAGCATGATAGGACATCCTTTTTTTAAGGACAGTGAGTGAGGTGGTAGGGATCTAGGATCAATGGTATTTAGTAGCTCAACTGGATATGTCAACTGACCATCTTCATCAATTCCCTGGTCGACGCTCTTAAACTCTTGTGCCTCTCCAGGAAACTAGCTCAGAAGAATATCATTGAGTTTCTTGACATCTTTATTCTTAGGAGTAAGCAAAGCATGGCCCATGAGGAAATGAGGGTTGGCTGCATTAGAGGAGAGATCATGGAAAACTGCTTTGGCCAGATCAGCAGGATTACATCCAGAAAGTAACATATGGGGCGGAATTGGGATGGTGTTATCACTGCCTGTTGTGTGGGCAGAACCACTACCAACTTGCAAGAGAAATGCTCCAAATTCCCTAAGCTCTAATGTTTCTTGTTCATTATTTGCTTGGGCAATTCGCATGTTTGTTGTAAGCTGCAAGGTTTTTACATTTCTCCATGCAGATGCTTTCTTGATACATTGGCTTACAACCTGAGCTCTTGTTGCCTTGGGTATAACAGGAAGGACCTGCCGAAAATTGTCTCCAAAGATAAACAACTTCCCTCCAAATGGAACGTTTTCAAGCAATGGATTGACAGCCTTCATTATATCTTGCATGGATCTGCTTACAGTATTAAAAACATCTTTACTAATCATAGAAGCTTCGTCCCAGATAACCAATTCCAATCTTCTAATAAGTTGTGCCGTTTGTGAGTTTGCATTGATGGAGCATAAGAAGTTAAGATCAACTTGCACTGGAATCTTAAACCTGGAATGTCCTGTACGCCTACTTTCTAACAGCAATGCAGCAATTCCACTTGTTGCTACTGCAAGATCAATTTTTTCTTGTTGGCGAGTTTTTTGAAGCAAGGCATTAAAGACAAATGTCTTTCCCGTCCCACCTGAACCATCAACAAAGTACAATTTTGGGGCTCCCACGTTTTCTTCAATTGCACTTAATACTATTGTATAGACATGTCTTTGTGAATTGTTGAATGTCAATGTATCTGGATCTGGCAAAAGCTGGGCTTCATCGCATAAATCTTCTTGTTCTTGTATGATGGCTTGAACATCTTGCCCATTTGGGCTAAAGTGCTGGATGTCAGGCATTGGTGGAAGAACAAATCCAGTGAACAACATGAGAGACATAGAGTTGGCAGATAGATGACTTTCGATATCCCATAAAGATCTGTCAAACATATCTTGTGTGGGGGCTAATGCAGGAATTCCACTACTTTCTCTTGCCAAATGAAGATAATTTTCAATCATAGAATCGCGATGAGCAAGCCACAAAGAGAAAGGATCTGATATTGCACAGAAAATCAAAAGAATAGCAAAGAGTCTTCGTAAAGAAAATGGGATCTGATGAGCTGCTGCCTCTTCCATACAGTTACTCTACTCATCATCATTCAAAAGTAATCCCAGAGCACGACATGTAGCTTGGTTTGTTTCATACACACATCCTTCTACTGTACGTATGTCTTCACAGCTTTTGGCCCCTTTAACATTATGCAGCAGTAATTGTAACGAATATTTTTCAATATCTCTCAGAGTCACAGTGTAAACTCTGCCAATCGTTCCTTTATCAAACCTCTTACATGCTGTCTATTTTCGTTCTTTTGTATTCCATACATAAAGAGAAGGAAAGTCAACGTAAAAAAGTTTTTCATATGATGGGTGTGTAGCATTATAGTTGAAATATCTTATTAAAGTAGTGTTTTTTCTGGAATTTGCAACATCCTCTGGGTTAGAAGATGGATTATAATATATGGGTTGGGCATTTTCTAGATGGATTGAAAGTCGTTGATGGCTGGGATACTCTTGATGAAGCTTGAAAGAAAATATTCTCCAGCATGCTTCAGAAGCGGAGACATACCAAGCATCAAGAAACTCATTAACTTTGTTTACATGCTCTTGTTGTTGTTGTTGTGGAGTGGAATTGGTGGGTGTAGGCTGCACACGGGCCATTGCACGATCATGTCCTTTATATATATATTTGTAGAGGTATTTTACGGCAGAAACAGAGGTGCTAATCTCAACATTTATATGAGCATTGTATTTTGCACATATGTATCTATTGTGTGGAATAACCCATCCATTATCCATGATCTTTGGCCCTCTTCTAATAACTCTTCCATTTAAACTGCGTTGATAAATAGGATATCCGTTTTCACCATTGCTAGTCTCATTGCAAAGCTTTTTAGGATAATACTTTGAACAGATCCCATTCTTCATGCATGATGCTTTTGGATATTTCTTTCCGCATAGGCCATGCATCATGCATTTTTTACTGTTTCATATGACAATGGCTCAGTTTCAGGATCTGGGATTTCAGCCGAAACTATTCTGTCAAAATCTTCTATTGTTTTTGGTTTATCTTGTGGTCGCAAAATCAAAAGAATGTGGGCATGAGGAAGTCCACGCTTTTGGAATTCAATGACATATATAAAGGCCAAAACTTTCCCCAGAATATTTTTTTTGTAAGGTCAATCATGAGCTCTTTGAGCTTCATATTGAAAACCCGAGAACAAAGATCTGGTCTGTCATTAGCTTTTTGCCCAGCCAACAGGGAATTTGTGATTTCTGGCCACTTTGAATTGCAAGTGAAAGTTATGAACAAATCAGGCTTGCCAAAACGACGCACAATACTCATTGAATCTTGATAAAGTTGAGCCATATACCGGGGGCTACCAATAAAAGAAGATGGAAGAATAACTCTCTTTCCAAGATTTGCAAGATTACAATCGTTATGGATAACAGCATCCTGAATTCTACTATAAAGATCTACACAGAGACGATTTTGATTGCTGGTGATGAAGTGCAGCTGATAGTGCTCAACTTTGGCATACATATCAACAATATATTGTTGAAAGAGACGGCCAAAAAGATGGAGGAGGTGATGTGTGTTGCGTCAATACATCAAACGGTTTGAGTACCATTGCATTACTGTAACATGCTCTCCTGACAATGAGCTGGCATCAATGGTCCAACCATCTTCACTATGTGGAAAGAGTAGCACATAGTGTAAAGCATCATAAGATCGGTGGTACTCATTGATGTTCTGTTGGAAGTTGGCTCTGGTGTGCAGCACAATGTCTCTTGAAGTACCCTCTTCATTATTCATAATAAGAACTGCTATTTCACTTGCAGTTGGAGCATTGTACCGTCTTTGATCCCGAGGCCCCTCAGCTACTAAACGCAAAGTGAGATCTATAGATTGTCTCTTTTCCTGAGAAATTTGATCCATTGTTCTGAAGAGATGTACGAATGGATTTGTTTCCATAAGAATGGACTGAATCTTCTCCAAAACACTTCTCTCCAATTGTGTGGAATGGTACTGTCTTTGATCTATCTGAGCAGCACTATCATAAATATAGATCTGAGCGAATTTTGGGTGAGCAATATCAGATTCTGTCACTGGCAAAATAGATCCAATTCTATGACAAATTGTTCCTTGAATTCAGAAGTTGTATGCCCCATTGATATTGTTGCCAACAGAGGTATCAATTTTAGCTCTCAAAGAAGTAAAGCTCATTGTACTATTATAGCTTCAAATGTTTTCAAGAAACTTCTTTCCATCACGTGTTCTATAGTTCAAAAGCTTAGCAATTCCTGCAGGTGTTGGCTCAATTTGGGGGAGAACATGCTTTTCTTTGTTACAACACATAGAGAACGTGGGGCTTCTTAAAGAAGAACGACTGTTTTTTTCATGTGCCCACATCATTGCCCCACAAAATTGACACTCGATATCCATATCTCCCCTGTTATCAACTGCTGGTTCTTAAATAGCTGGAAGTTGGACAATATTATTCAAGTCTCTGCCTCGATTTCTAGATCCTCTTGCTCTGCTACTGTTATTGTTTGGACAAAATCTGCTTATAATTTGGCTATGATCAGTTCCGTTACAGTGAGAACAATGGAGTGAAATTGATCCTCTATTCACAGTTAAAATCTCCTCGACTTCTTCTTCTCTTCCAGTCACTTCTTCATCGGATAAAGTCTCCTCAATCTCTTCTTCCATGACTGCTTCAAGAACTTCAGTAATAGTCTCATTTGCGAGTGAAAATTCAGTCAACTCAGAAACTGAAATAGAAGTCGATGTTTCTATGTCCAAATTTTGGTCTTGGACAGGCTCACTTCTTATTCTCAAGGCAGCAGCTATTTTTTTATAAACATATTTATTATTAAAATATATATATAATACTTGCCGTAATATGCATAAGTATATAAATAAATAGTTACTTTGGCTACTTTCTGCAGGATATTCATCTACATTAGTTCTCTTTTGAGGAATGTGGAGAGAAATGTTCTTTGGGTTCATGAGACATTGCTTATAAGTACTTCTGCTATGTGCAAGCATATGGCAAGCAGCACAATGATGTTGAGTAGATGACATTTTATTTTTCGGGTTTTTTTTTCAAAGTTTGAGTTTGGTTTGATAGTTGTATAAGTTTTTTGGCAATAGTTTGTAAAATAAATTCAAGGGGTTAATATCTTGGTATATCATGTGACATAGTAATGTCAGGAGCGGATTGGAATTGGCACTCAATTCCAATCCTACCCAATCAGGAACAACTACTCCAACCACAGTAGTTGGGTGAGCAAGGCCAAGAAGAAGAAGACAACCATTGCTCAGCAAGATACTGCAGCAAAAGGACTTAGCTAGAATCTAGGATACTGCGGCATCTTATAAATTAATATAAATATCACAAATATTATCACAAATAAACATTATCTTTATCTTCATATTTCATTCTATCTTATTATCTTATTGTGTGACTTCTTGCACATTAGAGTAAAAGTGCTAGATTTTAGATGTGAATAGATGTTTTACAGACAAATTTGTATATCACGTGATGCTGCTAATTTTGATTGATTTTAGATACTGGTTTTATCCATTCAATTGGTGCCCATTTCCATCTAATTAGCATCTGTTTCCATCTAATTAGAACCCATTGACATCTGATTGGCTTCCATAGAAATTGAATTTGCGTCCATTGCCAACTGAATTTGCTCCCATTGCCATCTGAATTTGCTCCCCCCCTTTTACTATTGGCGGAAGGGTATATGGCACTCAAATTTTTTATCCTTACGCCTTACAATTTTTTTATATAACCATAGTATTTTTTTTTTGTAAACGTCATACTTTTTTTTGTAAACTTCATACTTTTTTTTTGTAAACGTCGTATTTTTTTTTGTAAACGTCGAATTTTTTTTATATAACCATAGTATTTTTTTTGTAAATGTCGTATTTTTTTATATAACTGTAGTATTTTTTTTGTAAACGTCGTATTTTTTTGGCATAAAACATGGATATTTTTATTAGGCATAATTAGTTGATAGAGAAATAGAACACATAATAAGAAGTAAGATATAATGAAATACAAAGTAATAAAAAAAGAAAAGCATAAAGCAGTAAAATAAATAAAAAAAGAGGGACATAAAGTGGTAAAAAAAATAAGATAAAGAGGGACATAAAGTGGTAAAAAAAAAAATAAGAAAAAGAGGGACATAAAGTAGTAAAAAATAAAAATAAAATAAAAAAAGACATAGAGTGTAAAGAGCTTAAATAGACATAAAAGACATACTTAAAGCTTTTGCTCTCTGTTCAAACAGCGAGGAAAGAATGAAATGGCATGGTTAATCCAACCCAAACAGTCCAAAAGGGTGACAGTCTTAGCTGATTCTGTAATCCTTAAGATGAACCCGTCTGACTCTGTAATCTCTTCTCTGCGGACATCAAACTTGATCTTGGACCACATTTTCTCAATTGGATTCAGGAAAGGTGAATACACAGGAAGATATGCACACTTGTACCCATGGGAAGAAATAAAGTCTTTCACTTCATCGGCCTTATGGATAGGAGCATTATCCATGATGAGATAACGTCCTTGCATACCCTGGCTGTCCAGAACGTCCATTGTATGACTAAGAAAGTCGAGGTAGTGCTGGGTTCTAGTGCCAATTCGGCCATTCACCTCAATGTTGGTGTAGATGTCCAACTTTCTCTTCTTCTTGGTTGCGACTGCAGTGGGTTTCTTCAACGAGAGGCTGACAATCCCTCTCTCGCACATTGCGCCAAGGATGGTGATGGACACACCTCTCTGCGTCGGGACAGTTGTCATAGCCGGGGTGCCACTGACAGAACGGCCAAAAGTTCTCTTGATGTGCATGTTGAAGCCTGCTTCATCGATGAACACACAGTTTGACAGATAGTTGAAATCTGCAAGTTATTGCCACTCCAAAATGCAGTCTCGTCTCATCTCAATTGTGTTGACGTCGTCTCTCTTCTCAGGCAGCTTCTCCAACTTCTTCATCGTCAGGGCACACTTCTTCACCAAGTGCTTCTGGATTGCTGATTTGGTAATCTGCAGCCCAGAGAACTCTTCCATGACAGCTATCCTTGCTTGTTCCAAGGTAGCATCTGGTTTATTTTCGAAAAACTTCAAAAAAAAAGTAGAGTGCACCTGGAACAACTTTTGGTTGCCATGTTTTCGTTCTTTAGGCGCAGAAACCTCCTCAACCTCCATCGTCTTCAGCCTATTGGACTCATCAGTCTCCACTGTGGCAGCATCAAAATCGGCCTGGATCTTCTCTCTGGCCAGCCTGACATAGTTCTGGGCAGTCTGGACATTGATCCCCATTTCCCTGGCAGCGGCAGCAGCAGTCTGGTTTTCCGAGAAAACCAAGGAGAAAAGCTTGTTCACCTGGTTTTGGTTGTACTTTTGGTACGAACCTTGACCTATGCTTTTTGCAGTGGGAACAGAATCAGGATTGACCTTCTCTGGCAGATTCGTCTTCGGCTTCTGTGCAACAATTGTCTTGGTTGTGGCCTTGTTGACTTCGGTTGGCAGGAAACTTTTGAGACTGAGGAGGTTTGTGACTGCTGGGTTTCTGGCCGAGGTACGGGTCCATTCCATATCTGCATGGTTGACAAAGACATCTGTCACAGATCGGAATACAACTTCTCCATGCATTTCGTCGATAATCTCTTGGTTGAAATCGCACAAGGGGTCGAAAGCAATTCCAGAAAACTGGGTTTGGTCTGCAGAACCGCTGTGACTGATCATTTCACAGTGCTTGTCCATAACAAATTCAAGGGAATTGTTGGAAGTAGGCATTTTTTTTGAAAATAAAAAGGGTGTTAAAATCGAGGAAGAAAGATAACTGAGAAACTTTTATTAAGACACTGGGGTATATATACCAAAAAAAATATTTTAATAACAAACGTTTCTACCAAGGTATAGTCTTGTCCTGTTGTCTTAATATATTTGGATAAAGAACATGTTGAAGAATAATGAATGTTTACATATTAAGCTTCTTCACACTTTTAAGAACATTTATTTTATTAGCCGATTTACAGTGCTACCAGAGCCTTTATGGTGTCCTGTCTTCTGTCTCAAAGGAAGGGGTAGGATTTCTCCTCATGGGTTTGCCCAACCAAAAAAAAAATAAAAAAAAAGAAAGTTTTTTTTTGTATAGAGCCAAGGAAAAGCTCGAAATTCAGTTATTGAGATTTTCAGTTTTTCAGAAATGTCTGCGGTTAGATACCATTTTATTTTCAGTTATTAAGATTTTCAGTTATTCAGTTATTGAGACTTTCAGTTTTTCAGTTTTTCAGTTTTTCAGAAATTATTTGCAAAAAAATGGTTATGTATATTATAAAAATTTATGAATAAAAATGCTAGTTATACTATTTGGAGAATTATTTTTAAAATTGCTATTACATTTTTCTTTTTTTTATTTCTCTTTTTTTTTATTTCTTTTTTTTTTATTTCTTTTTTTTTTATTTCTTTTTTTTTTCTTTTTTTTTATTTCTTTTTTTTTTATTTTTTATTTTTTTTTTATTTCTTTTTTTTATTTTTTTTATTTTTTCATCTCTTTTTTTCATCTGTTTTTTTATTTCTTTTTTTTTGTCATGAGCTTGTGCTATTTTTTGTTACTGTTTTTGTGTGTATAATATTTGGTTTTTTTTTGGTATTTTGTATTATGAGGGTTTCCAAAATTGAGATTGGGTAGTATTGTGAGCAAAGCATAATTCTTGGACCGCTTTCAGTTGTTTAACAGATTGTTAGACATTTACTTGTTTCGAGTGCAGATTACAAAGAGTTGTTGAGTTTGATATTAAGAAGATCAGGATTCTGACATTGTAAAATGGTTGGAGCAGGTGCTGAATAAATATAGCATTTTTGGATTCTTTTTTGTAATGGTATTAGATGCTTGTGTAGGACCAGGTTCATAAGAAATACAATTGCTGTGGTAGTCAATCAGATTACTGGATATTTGAGATAAAAATTGGCAAGTTTTTGTGTGGTCAGTAGAGTGAATTCTACTGTTGGATTTCGAAAAAATATAGTCGGCGAAATGCACTTAAAAGCATTATGAATATGTGTAGACTGGTTCCTATCGTATAGGTAGATGTTTGATCTTATAGTTTCTTTGTAGGTGGAGGGTTGAATTGTCACGTTTTCTTTTCAGATTTATAGCTTTTGTTCAAAATACTATAGATTATTTAGAGATTAATATCAATGACTCCGAGGTATAGGCTTTATTTACATATAGAAACATAATGTGATCTGGAAATAATAAAAAAATCCATGAGGTATAGAGCTTTAGGCAGTGTTTTCATTGTCAGAGTAATATTTAGTTGTTGAAGTGAGCATGAGAATGAGATTTATTGCTGATTTAAGAAGAGAAATAAACAGTTTTGGTATATAAACACCAAATGGAAAGAGAGAGAATTATGATATCTCTTTTAAAAAAGAATGTTTATAATAAATTTATGGCTGTGGGTAATATATTATCCTATTTATTTTTTATCTCCTTGAGTTCAATTTGTACTACTTTATTTAGTGGACCTTAGAATATTATTTTTTGATATAAAAAGCTGAAAATATAATGGCTAATACTATTTAACAACAACTCAATCTTCTTTACATCTATTATTGCTGCTTCAACTTGTGTTCTGATTTTTATCTTGCATCTTAAGTAATTACTATTTAATTATAACTGCTATGTGCTAGATATAACTATATTTATATAAAATATGTCACTTTAACATATCTTCCTATTTCTTTATTTTTTCACCTTTTATTATCAGAAAACCCTACAATGTTACACGAAAAACTTGAAGAATATAACAGTGCCTTTGAAAAAAGCATGGAAGAGCTTGAAGAGCCTGAAATGCCAGAAGATCCAAAAAGTTCTGCCCCATCAACAACAGACGAAACCCCCAAAAAAAGTAGAGAGCAATATCAAAAGCCTACGGATAAAGATATAAAAAATCTTCTTTATCTCTACTTCATAAGGGGATTAACTATCGAAAAAGCCAGCAAGATAGTAAATATGAAACAAACAACTGCTGGTGGCTATATTTTGAAGTGGAGAAAGTCTCCAGTTGTTTTTTTCATTAAAAACAACAAGGAGGCTGCAAGTGACGAAAAAATGAATCTTTTATTCAAAACTTACTCTGCAATAAAGAAAGAATACAAATAATATCATTGCATTTTCAATTTTAATATAATTATTATAATGAGATACTTGCTTTATTATCTTATAACTGCAGTAAGGTATTTAACTTTAACAAAGTAATCTGGAGAAAAGTTTGCATATTCTGTTAATTCTCTCTATAGATATTTTCTATGACGTATCTTTGTAGAATGATCTACATATATTGAAGTGCTATTACATTAGGTGTTTGGTACTTATATAAAAAAATATAGCAGTTATATAAAAAAATACAACGTTTACAAAAAAAAAATACTATAGTTATATAAAAAAAATTCGACGTTTACAAAAAAAATACAACGTTTACAAAAAAAAATACTACAGTTATATAAAAAAAATTGTAAGGCGCAAGGATAAAAAAATTGAGTGCCATGTACCCTTCCGCCAATAGTAAAAGGGGGGGAGCAAATTCAGATGGCAATGGGAGCAAATTCAGATGGCAATGGGAGCAAATTCAGTTGGCTATGGACACAAATTCAATTTCTATGGAAGCCAATCAGATGTCAATGAGTTCTAATTAGATGGAAACAGATGCTAATTAGATGGAAATGGGCGCCAATTGAATGGATAAAACCAGTATGTCTTGGTTAACAAAAAAGGGAACCAAATGGTATAATATTGAGGGCATATGTTAAAAGGAATAACCGATTGGATACCTGACTTAAGGATTTCTATCTACGATGTCAACTCTGACACAAAAGCTTGACCAATTCAGCTACGTTTACAGTGAATTCGAGGATAGCCTAGATCAGAAACAACAATTATGAATCCAACAAAATGAATAAAAAGCAACTTAAGTAGATGCACTAACATTTTCCCCAACGGGGAATCGAACCCCGGTCACGACGGTGAAAGCGACGGATCATAACCACTAGACCATTGAGGAAACACGTGCATGACATTATGTGCTGTAAAATCTTGTACCATTAACCAAAAACATATTTGTTTGATGTGACGTCAACTTATGGACAGACTATTAAGTTATGGACAGTGCAAAGTCGTGACTCCATCTCCGGACACAACAAAATCCGATTTCTTGGATTTATTTTCTCTCTCCCTCTTTTTCCTTTTTTCTTGCTATTGACATTTAAATTCCCACTAGACTTTAAATGCTTTTCCCCTTTTTTCTATTTTTTCTTTGATTTTTATTTCCTTTTTAGCTTGCTTCTCTTTGCATTGCACTTGTTCCTTTACACTTCTTGATATTACTTCTTTAGTATGCTTCCCGAGAGTTCATATTTTTTAGTAGTTTGCACTACAGCAGAGAAAATAGTAATATGTTACCACTTTGGTAACATAACTACTATTTTTTACTTAATAAAAAATGACAGTTATGACTCTGTATAAGGCCAAAACAGGCACTGTTACAATTTTCACATAGTAAAAAATGGTAGTTATTTATTATGTAAAAAGCCAAAATAAGCATTATTATCATTTTTTCATAATAAAAACACTGGAAAAACCGCCTTGATTAACAATGTGACCAGGTTGGTAAACACATATGTAGAAATAGTGATTTTTTTTGACTCAGTGTGTTTTTTGAAGTTCAGGTCAAAGATATAGTTTTAGTTGGTTTCATTGGTTAACAGAATTTTAGAATATTAGTCTGGTACGGAAAGCTAAATTCACATACAGAGACCTATCATAATTCTTATTCTATCACCTTTTTTTTTATTCCTACTATTTTCTGGATTTACTCTCGCAATAATCTATTTATAAACTCATAGTAGAAGAATATATGTCTTTTATATACAACAGGCATTCTTGAAAACATTTGAATAAAGACTATGAATTCATAATATCATAATTGTCATGTCTCTTTCTATATTAAGTAATATAGAAAAGAACTTGTTAGAAGAATTCAATTAAACAACCATAAAATATAATGCTTTTTTTTTACTATAAAGTTGGTGCAAATAAAGTATATTTTACGCTTGTTTCTCTTTTTATTCTCAATAAATCACATCAAACAAAACACATAAAATATTTTCTATTCTCCACCACTGTAATGTTGTCTGCCATTGTGCTCAATGTAGCAGAAATTCACAGAGATACTCATTGGTAACAAGTAGAACCACTGAGCATCATATTAGAAAAGATGAGCTTAAGAGAATTGAGAGACTGGATACAGCTGAAAGATTGGCAAATAGTATGTTATATTCAGGGCTTATTTTTCGATTACTGAGTAATAACTTCTTTATTTTTTTAATTTTAATGAAACACAGCTATGCAAAAATAACAAATGATGGACGTTGATACCCAATGTAAAAAAAAAGAAAAAAAATATATTTGAAAACCAGTAGAGACAATAAGCTAAACTAATCTATATTTGTATATATCCCGACCTGTCAATCTGAATCCATCAAAAAAATAGACAATCAGACTGACTCACCTGATTCAAATGCTGCCACGATGGCTGACATTGTCTTGGTAGACAATGAGATTAGCAAGATCAATGGTAATGACTCTGACATTGAAAGAGACATGAACTCTGACTCTGGCAGTGGTGAAAAAGAAGGTGTTGAGACAGATGTTGAAGAGTTTGTTAACGAAGGTCATTCATAAATGATTTTGTTTTCTTAAAAACAGACCTAAAGAAAATTTGTTCTAATTTATTTTTATTAATTTTAAATAGACCCATTTGATGCTTCTAACATGCCTGAAAACCCTGTCCATTGGTTCATTGCTACCTTTGCCGTTCTTTTTATCTTGCGTTATATTATTAACAAAGGTATCACCGTATTGATTAAATTTATCAATCAGTTACTCAAGATCTATAGCAAAGATTTCCAATTACTAACAAGTCTTATTGGTCTGCAAAGAATGACTGATTTTTCCAATTACATCAATGGTATTAAGAAGTCTGTTATATGTGAAGACTGCCACAAGGTTTACAAACAAGATGTGTCTCTCCCTACTCATTGTGACTTCAAAAAGCATGGTTCTCAATCAGTATGCAATTGTGAATTGATGAAGGTTTCATCTTCTGGTGCCATGGTAGCCAAGCAATCATATGTCTATAACTCTATCCAGAGATCATTACAAGTTTTCTTTCTTTGTTCTGAGTTTAAGCAAAAAATCAGACAATGGAACAAAGAGCTTAAGATCATAGATACACTATGCAACGTCTATGATGGTGCTATGTGAAAGGAGCTAAAGAACCAAAGTGGTATATTGTTTGTGGATGAATCTCATTCATTGATGCTAACAATGAACATTGACTGGTTCTAGCCATTTGATGACATTACATATTTAACTGGAGCTATCTACCTTGCAATAAATAACTTGCCTCATGAGAAAAGATTTAAGCCTGAAAATATCATCCTTGTTGGTTTGATGCCTGGTCCTAAGGAGCTAAAGACCAAAGAGATCAACCACTATTTAAAGCCAATAGTCGATGAATTGCTGCAGTTGTTTACGGGGATAACCATCCCAACTTTTAAGTGCTCAGCCAGTGTTAATGTACGTGCCGCATTACATATAGTTGCCTGTGACATCCCCGCTGCCAGGAAGACCAGTGGATTCACTGCCCACAACAGTACTTGTGCATGCCCCAGATGTGTAAGGCAATTTACCAGGTTACCAAGTACCAATCAGGTCGACTTCAGTAGGTTCGACTATTTGACATGGAAAATCCGTAGCAGTCTGGAAAACAGGTTGCATGCTGAGGAGTGAAAGAGTGCCAGTATGCCCTCAGAAAGGCATCAGTTGGAAATTGAAAATGGTGTTCAATGATTGCAGCTGCATCGCCTTGGATACTTTGATCTAGTACATGGAACGATCATCAATCCCATGCATAATTTATTTCTGGGAACACCAAAGAGAATGATGGAGCAGTGGATAAAAGAAGGACTGATAGACGATAGAAAGCTGGCTAGAATGCACGCAATGGCAGAGACAATGGTGGTGCCAATAGATTACAGGATGTTGAAATTGAAGATTGGAAAGGGCTTTCCATACATGAAAGCTGATGAATGAAAGTTCTGGGTGCTAGTGTATTCGCCTATCTTGTTGAAAGCTGTTCTGCCAATTGAAATGTTCAGAAATTGGATCAGTTTTGTTGATGTCTGCTGCCAATTAGTAAAGCCAAGCATCACGTTCTCTGACATTGACGACGGCCATAAATTTCTTCAAGAATTCTGTACTGAGTGCCAGCGTATTTACACTCCAACTCTTCTCACCTGTAACATGCATTTACATCTTCATCTTTGTGAGACCATCTGTGATTTTGGATCTGTATATGACTATTGGCTCTTTGGGTTTGAGCAATATAATGGTTTGTTAAAGAACGTAAGCACAAACAGAAAAGATTCTTTTGAGGCTACGTATATGCAGAGTTTTGTTCAAGATACTTTCAAGGGTAACTATGTCAATGCCGTTCTCCAATGTCCAAGCCAAGTCCCCTTTCTTCTGCTTCTCACCAAGCTTACTGCCACTGCTCAACCATCCAGTTTAAAAAACAAGATAACTTTCCCACAACGCCCGTTCAGATTAGCAGCCTTTGTCTAAGCATACTCAAACCCTTCTCTTCCAGTCCGGGGCAATGAACCTCTTCCTCCCTCTACGTTTCCTCTTCACATCAAGCCCTCATCAGTAATGAGTGATGTTGACTATTCTCATTTGCTTGATTATTTTAAAGTCGTGTATCACATTCCTGGTCTTGAAAGTTACCAATTTCTGTCCTTCTCCTTCTCCTTTGTTGACAATCAGATCACAAAGTTGAGATCAATCAATTTGCTTAGCCAGGTGTACAAAGGCTGTAATAATGCTTCAGGTCGCGGCTCATTTGTGCAATCTCTGTTCCTTGGAAGTCAAGGCAATAATCGATTGGCATACACCAGCCAAATTCAGTATCTTTTCTTTCACTCTTTCACTCCACCAGTAGACAACACAGATATCCAAACACGTATTGTTTATTAAGATAAACACGTGTTTGCGTTTGTTAAGTAGTTCCAGATTGAGCATGACTGTTCAAGAGAGTTGGAAAGTGTTGACATCTGCAGTGCAGATTTTATTGCGTGTGATTTTGAATGCATCTTGACAGTACATCAAATATCATCAGTTGTTGCAACATGTGATTATAAAACCAGCACAAATAATAAGAAAATACTTGTCAACACTTTACCATACAAACAATATAATTAATATTTAATACATTTCTTTTTTTAATAAAAAATTTCAATATATAAGCTAATGTAGTCTTATTATATATGTTGCAAACAATACATATGTGTTAAGAAATTTTGAGAGTAAAAGAAAAAAAACGACAAAAAATGAGTTTTATTTATGACCCATATTTAAGAGCTCATTGAGGTAGAGCAGGATCTAAATCAATTGGGATTGTTGATTCCACTGTTCTATCATAAACTCTCTTAAGCAGTTGGCAAGAATTTGTTAAGCTAAATAATAAACATATATTAACATTCAGTCTGGCATCATTCAAAAAAGAAAACTGTTAGGTTTTACCTCGTCACTTCTCCAACTTGGGCGAGCAACACGAATCTCATTTCTTGGCTGAGAGGGGGACATATCATTGTCTGATTCGCCTTCAGACATGACTGACTTTTGGATCAGTCCAGAGCAGTTTCAACCCATCTTGAGATCAATGTCAGCCTTGTAAGCATCATAAGCAAGGCGATGGCGAGTGTAGTTCTAAAGGAAAAGACAATACAATTAATATTCTAATTGTTATTATTTAGCATAAATTGAAAATATAGTTTACATCAGTTTCACGGCCAGATCTTCTTGAATTAGTATTCAAGGCTCGTCTTGTTTCTGGAAGTTCCCTTTGCTGGCAACGTCTACTACAGAAGTTTGTATATATATACTTACGAAGGTCGTGTGTCCTCATATCAGTGCCAGCAAACTTCTTTTCCAAGTAATACAAGAGTTGTTTGACTAACTCTCTATTTGGAGAGCAATCAAAACGAACATCAACTGCCCACTTTGGTTTTATGGCGTTCACTTGGATTTCTGCCTGGTCTCTTGATTTTAGCTTTGGGTTTCACATATAACCATGAATGTATCCATATTATATTTTAATTAGCAACAAGATTAGCAAGTGTCTTTTGTATCTTTATACTTACAAATACAGCATTAGTATCACTTGATTCGGTGATGGGAAGGGCAGCAGAAGTGGATGCAACACTAGTGGGCACATGCACAGATGCTGGGAGGGCAGACAAGGCATCAATGCCATTAATGGCGGTTGTGTTACCAGTGATCACTACACCGATTCTTGTATCTATCAATGTGATCTTATTCTTCATGGCCTTCATCTCTTCTTTCATCGCATTCAAAGCTTGTAGCAACTGGACATCAGTGCTAGCAAGAGAAGGAGCGAGTCTGCGGTTGGGGGTAGGCATTATCTGTAATATATTATAATATTTTCAATTGTTAATATTAGTTCTTTTTCTTTTTTATTCTCTTTTGTAAGAGACAATCCATCTATTTTGTTATGTAAATTACAATAAATTCGCAACGTAGATTTGTTGAGATGATATAATCAAGAGTGAGTGACATTGAATTGCAAGTAGAAATATTAAGTATTTATAGGCGGTAGTGATGCTTCAGGAACACTTCAAAGACAACTTCTTGAAACACTGAGATGCAAATCGGCCTTGATACATTTTTTGGCCTCAATTGATCACCTCTTTTCAGTTTTTTTTGCTATCATTTATTGGATAAGCTTTTCGGTATTTTGTTTCAAACGCGGAAAAAAAATTTATGTCTTTTTCTTTCTTCTTTTCTGCTCCTTTCCTCTTTTCCAACGTTTGTCATTATTATATTAGTGGCTTTTTTTGGTAACATACTTCTTTATTAAATACTTTTTTATAAACAATAAAAATTAATACATTCTTTTATTATCATAATAGATACTTGTTTGCTCTCATTTAAATGCATTCATTTCACAATTGCTGTCTAGATTAATAAAGGTCAATATTATATTTTACAAAATTGACATCTATAAAAATCCTTCTGACTTGTTTTTTTTTATTACAGACTTAATCATCAAGAATAACTGCTGCAAATGAATTTGGTTAAAAGCATCAAGATAGTGTATATATATATATATATTATTTTGACATGTATCTTACTAAAATGAAGTCTTATTATAGATGAATACTGTTGATTCCATCTTTGATTTCCCTTACATTATACAGCTGGAAATAACATTATATGATAAGGATTACTACTTTATTTTGTATTTTAGTTATATTAAGATTATAATATGTTAACATAAAATATTATTATTTTTCATTAGAGTTCTATCAAGTGTTTACAAAAACAATCTATCTCTGTTAATATATTCTTGCTACTGATATGTAAATTATTTATTATTTTATTTGATTTACAAAAATTAATGTTTTTTGTTGTTTTTATAGTGAAAGATATCATAAGAAACGCTATGGATTATTAATATTGACATTCATTTTTTGCTTGCTATTTTCCAATATTTATAATATAAATATAAAAGTGTACACAAAATATAAAAGCATACTACATTAAATGTAGTATCTAGCACACATAGCTAATAATTTGTCTTTGCTTTTTAAAGACTATTGTATTTCAACAAATAGTCTGCTTTCTTTTTATATTTTTAGGTATTTCTTTTCTGTAGATAATTATTCTATTCAAACAGTATCAAGCAGACCAGTAGAAGCAATAACAGATATCCAATAAATCAATACTATAAGATTGTTATAGTTCTAGAAACATTCTGTTCTTTCCAAATAAATACTATTATAAACTTTTACCAATAAAACAATTTCTGAAATTAAAAAAAAACGATTGAACTATACTATGATTTAGAATCCAAAGAATTGCTCAAGTATTGAATTTAATTGGATATAAAAAATAACGAAGAGGTGTAATGTTGAACTATACTACTGTGTCAAGATCAAAAATAAATATATTATCCACCTTTAAAGCTCCATATAAAACATATAAAAATAAAATCTTGGTTTCAAAAAACTCTTTTCAATATCCCAAGTCAGATCAACATACTGAAAGTACTAAAGAACTATATCCCCATCATTTTTATTTGACCTCACACATATGTATAGCTGGTCATGGCACATGGTGCTAAAATGAACTTGTTACATACATAGTAATATGTATCTGGACTCAATGTTAAACCCCGTCTTGACACCTGAGTAATTATGCCTTTACATATATGTATGTCAGGTTATTTTTCCAGTGTAAGATATGATATATAGTTGCATAAAGTTATTGTTGACAGGATGATGCCTTTTTGTTGTATTTATTAGTGTTTTGCTCTACGAAAAGAAAAATTGCTTTCTATTCAGCCTTGGCCACCATTGGAAAATCAAAAAATAATAATACTGGTTTTATCCATTCAATTGGCGCCCATTTCCATCTAATTAGCATCCGTTTCCATCTAATTAGAACCCATTGACATCTGATTGGCTTCCATAGAAATTGAATTTGCGTCTATTGCCAACTGAATTTGCTCCCATTGCCATCTGAATTTGCTCCCATTGCCATCTGAATTTGCTCCCATTGCCATCTGAATTTGCTCCCCCCCCTTTTACTATTGGCGGAAGGGTACATGGCACTCAATTTTTTTATCCTTGCGCCTTACAATTTTTTTTATATAACCGTAGTATTTTTTTTTGTAAACGTCGAATTTTTTTATATAACTGTAGTATTTTTTTTTGTAAACGTTGTATTTTTTTATATAACCGTAGTATTTTTTTTTGTAAACGTCGTATTTTTTTGGCATAAAACATGGATATTTTTATTAGGCATAATTAGTTGATAGAGAAATAGAACACATAATAAGAAGTAAGATATAATGAAATACAAAGTAATAAAAAAAGAAAAGCATAAAGCAGTAAAATAAATAAAAAAAGAGGGACATAAAGTGGAAAAAAAAATAAGAAAAAGAGGGATATAAAGTAGTAAAAAAAAATAAGAAAAAGAGGGACATAAAGTAGTAAAAAATAAAAATAAAATAAAAAAAGATATAGAGTGTAAAGAGCTTAAATAGACATAAAAGACATACTTAAAGCTTTCGCTCTCTGTTCAAACAGCAAGGAAAGAATGAAATGGCATGGTTAATCCAACCCAAACAGTCCGAAAGGGTGACAGTCTTAGCTGATTCTGTAATCCTTAAGATGAGCCCATCTGACTCTGTAATCTCTTCTCTGCGGACACCAAACTTGATCTTAGACCACATTTCCTCAATTGGATTCAGGAAAGGTGAATACACAGGAAGATATGCACACTTGTACCCACGGGAAGAAATAAAGTCTTTCACTTCATCAGCCTTATGGATAGGAGTGTTATCCATGATGAGATAACGTCCTTGCATACCCTGGCTGTCCAGAACGTCCATTGTATGACTAAGAAAGTCGAGGTAGTGCTGGGTTCTGGTGCCAATTCGGCCATTCACCTCAATGTTGGTGTAGATGTCCAACTTTCTCTTCTTCTTGGTTGCGACTGCAGTGGGTTTCTTCAACGAGAGGCTGACAATCCCTCTCTCGCACATTGCACCAAGGATGGTGATGGACACACCTCTCTGTGTCGGGACAGTTGTCATAGCCAGGGTGCCACTGACAGAACGGCCAAAAGTTCTCTTGATGTGCATGTTGAAGCCTGCTTCATCGATGAACACACAGTTTGACAGATAGTTGAAATCTGCAACTTATTGCCACTCCAAAATGCAGTCTCGTCTCATCTCAATTGTGTTGACGTCGTCTCTCTTCTCAGGCAGCTTCTCCAACTTCTTCATCGTCAGGGCACACTTCTTCACCAAGTGCTTCTGGATTGCTGATTTGGTAATCTGCAGCCCAGAGAACTCTTCCATGACAGCTATCCTTGCTTGTTCCAAGGTAGCATCTGGTTTACTTTCGAAAAACTTCAAAAAAAAAGCAGAGTGCGCCTGGAACAACTTTTGGTTGCCACGTTTTCGTTCTTTAGGCGCAGAAACCTCCTCAACCTCCATCGTCTCCAGCCTATTGGACTCATCAGTCTCCACTGTGGCAGCATCAAAATCGGCCTGGATCTTCTCTCTGGCCAGCCTGACATAGTTCTGGGCAGTCCGGACATTGATCCCCGTTTCTCTGGCAGCGGCAGCAGCAGTCTGGTTTTCCAAGAAAACCAAGGAGAAGAGCTTGTTCACCTGGTTTTGGTTGTACTTTCGGTACAAACCTCGACCTATGCTTTCTGCAGTGGGAACAGAATCAGGATCGACCTTCTCCGGCAGATTCGTCTTTGGCTTCTGTGCAACAATTGTCTTGGTTGTGGCCTCGTTGCACTGCAAAAACAGATCAATTTCGCATATGTAAAGTATACCTAAGTTCTGATAGACAGAATAGGTAAAATTGTAGTTCAGCTCACTTTTGTGAGTAAAGTATTTGAATAGTATTTTAAGCTACTCTATTGGCTACTGGCAGCTGTGTAGCATTAGAATGCAACATCAAACTCAAATAAAATAAAAGTGTGTTTTCTTTGAAGTCTCTTTCTTTACTATTAAATACTATTGTAAACCTTTCTTTTCATTTTAAAATGGCTCCTATTCGCAAACCAACTGTTAGAAAAGAGTGTTGATGCTCTATCTGTAAAAGCAAGACACTAGGATTCGATCGTGTATCTGTTAAAACATTTAAACGTCATCAAGAAAAAGATAATCATGATATTACACATGTTCAAATGCGTATGGTTAATACATTTGCTTTACTTTACTTTATTTTATTTTATTTTATATCATTTCCTTTTTTATTATTTTATATAATAATAATAATAATAATAATAATAATACTAACACTAATAATAATAAATGTGTAGCCCATGAAGACACATGCAATACAATTAGTAGTGCTGTTTCTGAGCCTGTAAATCAAGAGGAAGATAGTTTTGAATTTGAACAGGAAGATGTTGAAATAAATTCTGAGCTTAGAAGTAAGAAAACTTATTTTATTACATTGATTTATTTGGGTCTAACATTCCACTTTTGTAGACCTAAATGACACAAATGACATTTTGGATATACGGACAAGAAACCAACCTTTCTCTGAAACGGATTGCGTGTTTGGCCCTGAAGATAATGTCCAGTATACAAGTGACACTTATGAAGAAGAATATGAAGATGAATCCGATGTTGAGATGGACAATGATGAAGGTAGGTACACAGCTTTAGATAATAGTATATCCTAGAAAATAGAGAGTTAATCAACGTTCTTTAAAAAAAATCAAATTAAAGATTCTTTGTTGGAATCAATCTCGGAATTGAATTTGATTTACCGATTCATTGTTATTTTGGTTGCTCTTTTTGTCTCGCTATACGTCGTAGATGAAGGTGCTGTAATCCTGATTGCCATAATCAACAAGATACTGCAGTTTTTGTTTGACCCATTCCGCCTTCCAGTGAGTGTTGCTGGCCTCAAACGTTTGGCCGGATTTGAAGTGTTGACAAGTGGTGTCAAGAAGTATGTTGCATGTAGCGAATGCCATGCCATATATGATAATGAAGCCGCCCCTTTGTGTTGTACATCACCCAATTTTGGTAAAACCTCCTTGTGTGGCAACAGCTTGTTTAAGTCTGGTCCCGGGTCAAAAGCACCCAAAAAGACATATGTATTCCACTCCGTCAAGAAAGCCCTAAAGACGTTTTTTCAATGCCCGGATTTTGAAAACAACATCAACTCATGGAACCGCGGCCCGAAAAATGGATAGCACTTTGTTTGACGTGTACGATGGTGCGATGTGGAATGAGATAGTAGATGTAGGTGGTATACCTTTTGTTGATACCGAGCGATCACTCATGCTCACACTGAACATTGACTGGTTTCAGCCATTCGATGGTGTTACCTACTCCTGTGGTGCCATATATCTTGCAATCAATAATCTTCCACGCAGTGAGCGGTTCAAGAAGGAGAACGTGATTCTTGTTGGGTTAATGCCAGGGCCTAAAGAAGCAAGCACTTCTGACATAAATAACTATCTGAAACCGCTTGTGGATGAGTTGATGGAGCTGTACAAAGGTATTAAGATTAAGACTCACCAATGTCCAAATGGTACTTCTATCCGAGCAGCCCTTCTCATGGTTGCCTGTGATATACCTGCTGCAAGGAAAGTATGTGGGTTCACATCCCATACAAGTACAAATGCATGCCACAAGTGTAAGCGTCAATTTTCGAGGTTGGCTGGAACGAGTTCTGTTGATTATTCTGAATTTGATTTCTCAAAGTGGCTCCTTCGCACTAAGAATGACAATCGTAAGGATGCAGAGATCTGGAGAAATGCAACCAAACCAACTGAGAGACAGCGTCTTGAAGTTGCACATGGTGTTCGTTGGTCCGAACTGCATTGTCTTCAGTACTTTGACATTGTCCGCTGCACGATCATCGATCCCATGCACAATATTTTCTTAGGCACTGCCAAAAGAATGCTGGAGAGATGGGTTGCGGATGGATTAATCGATGATAAAAAACTCGTTGCCATGCAAAAGGCTGTTGAGAAGGTAGTGTTGCCGCCCGATTACACATCACTTGGGACAAAGATTGCCAAGGGATTTCCCTATATGAAGGCTGATGAGTGGAAGTCTTGGTGCCTTGTGTACTCTCCTGTGGTTCTAAGGGATGTGTTGCCATTGCCAGAGTTCAAGAACTGGATAGAGTTTGTTAACGCATGCAGATACTTCACCAAGCCTAGTGTTTCTGAAGAAGACATTGAGAAAGGACACAAATGCTTAGAAGAATTCTGTAAAGGGTGTGAGACATTGTACGACCTGGACCTTCTCTCTCCCAACATGCACCTGCATCTGCACTTACGCCAAACAATGATTGACTTTGGGCCCGTCTATGGCTATTGGCTTTTCAGCTTTGAAAGGTACAATAGTGTCCTGAAAAATATCAAGACCAATCGAAGAAACGGGTTCGAATCGACATTTATGAGACAGTTTATTGAAGAGTCGTGGAAGGGAGATTTTGTGCATCGACTTCTGAAACCTATGCATGCACTTGCATGTTTTGAAATTTTCGATAAGTTCACCACCAACAACAACACCAACACCAACACTAACACTAACACCAACACCAACACCAACACCTACCTCTCTCACTCTTTCTCAATTTCTGAATATCTTGAAGCTTCACAGAATCTTTCAATGATAATTCGTGGAAACGAGCCCCTGCCACCATCCGCCTTGCCATTGAAAACAAGACCATTATCATTTATGCCAAAACATGAATATGATTGTCTTGTAGGATACTATCAAGCTGCGTACAAGAATCCACAGATCTCAGGTTGCAAAGATGTAATTGATGACTCACCTTTCGTCAATGACTGGATCGAAATGGTGAAGTCCGTTGATCTTCTTGGGCAAAGCTACAAAGGGTGCATTGGCATGAATGGCCGCGGATCATACATACAAGCATATTTCACTGAACGGACTGGGTCGGAACATGCGTATGTTGGAGAGATTCAGTACCTTTTTGTTCACAATTTTAGGCCAACTGTTTCTTCTCTAACATACAGAAATCCCCATAGTAGTCAGCATGTATTTGCATTTGTCAAATGGTTCAAATCCACTTCGGACAAAACAAGAGAATTAGAAGGAGTTGAGTTGTTACAGGATGAATTCTACAAGCAAGATTTTCAAAGCATCCTGCCAGTACATCGGATTCTCCTAACAGTTGCAATAGTAGATTACAAAACTACAAAAAATGTCAACAAAAAACTCGCGATTCCTTTACCAAAAAAAAATTACTATTAATTCTCATACACACACTTACTTATATATTTATCCTCTATTATTATTATTTCCTTTAATCAATTCAATTTCAATTATTACTATTTGGCCCTACAACAGAACATAGTAAAAAAGAAAATGTTTATTCATCGTTGATTGCCCAACGAGGCAATGACTGGGACAGAGTGGCAGGAACAGAGCAAGGCAACAATGTTGCTGGATATCTGTTCATTCTTGGCTTTGTTCCCACGCCCGCATTTAACACGTGATGGGTACGATCAATGTCATCAACCATTGTCAACAATCTGTTGAACTGTATTTATTTTTATTAGTTCTTTATTTTTCTTGTTATAAAACTTATTTATTTATTCTAAATATTATTTACCTCTTCACTTCTCCAAGTGGGGCGAGCCACATGCAAACACTGTCGTGGAAGATTGTCCACAATCTCAATATCCGACTCACCATCAGACATGGCATCCTTCTGAAAGAGTTTGAGATAGGCCTTCTCAACAGGGTTTCCAGTCTTATATCCCATTGCAGCATCAATGGCTACTCAGTTGTCCATGTATGTCGACTTGCATCGGATAGACATCTGGTTATATAGATTGTAGCTTGAGAAAATAGTAATATACCAATTAATTTTTTATATAGTATATACAAACCTGAAGAGTACGACTGTTTGCTCTCCCCTTGCTGTTTTTCTTGGCCTTCTGCTCAGGAGACTCGTGAAAAGTACGATGACTGTGCTTGTACCTGTTCTTTATTTTATCACTTATCACCCGTGGGTGAGTACCAGCTAGACAAGTCTGGGCGCTAATGTAGCTCTTCAAGTAGTTGATAACAGCTACGTTATCATGGTGGTTAATCTTCTCGTTCAAGTTCCACTTCTTCTTACTCTTGTTCTCAGCAACAAGAGCAGGGTTTTCAGACTCGAACTTCCAGTCCCACAACTTTTCCGCGAATATTTCCTAAATACAGGTTGTTTAATAAGTTGTTGATACTAACATATATTAATATTAATTACCGAGATAATGACAGAAACCTCGGCATCACTGAGGGAGGTCTGGGGGACATAGGATGGCATCAGAGATGGTCCTAGACTAGCCATACAAGTCTGATTGTTGGCATAGGCAGTTGCAAAGTCTGCAAATGCCGTATGTGTCTTTCCAGACGTGTCAACAACAACGCCCATCCTGTTTTTAAAGGCTGCCATGTTGCTATTGACAGCAGCAATGTCATCCTTGACACCGTTGATATTGTTGTTTACTTTGTTAAACATTTCAACAATTTCTGCGTATCGCTGATCTTGGATAGTTGCGGATGAGAAACTGGGGGCAATTTCTTGAGGTCCAACATGGCCAGCCAAAACACGGTTTGCAGATGTAGATATACTTGCAGATGCTTTTCCTTTTCCTTTACGGTCTGTTTTTCTGCTGCTATTGGAAGGCATTTTTTCTTTATTGTATTTTTATTAAAGTTTTATACATTAATAAATTATTAAAATAAAATAAATGTATGGGTTGAAATATATTTATTTTTGTTTAATCAAAGATATACATACAAAATAAGTTAATATAAAGTAGATTTATGAAATAGCTGAGAAAAGGAAGGGATTATATATTATTTTCTATAAAATCCTTTATAACCTTGAACAACTTCTTTAATATTCAACATAGAACTTAGTGTTACAATATAATTTTGGACTATTCATTTTATTACTATTGTATTTTACTAGAGTCAATTCTCATCTAAACTGCCTTCTGTTTGAAAGCCCACTTTTTTTTCTTCTTTTTCTTTATTTTTTTCTTATTTCTTTTTTTCCTGTTTCTTTTCTGCTTTATTTACTTTTATTCTGGTTGATGTATTTGAGTTCATACCCTGGTAAGCAATTTGTTTTTATTATTCTACTGTTATATTTATTCTTAATGTTTTTTCTTTTATTATTATTGTGGTTGCTGATAGTATTACAAGTCTTTGCCATGTTGATTAATGGACAAGAACAAAAAGGTAAAACGCGGTTATTGTGTATGTGCTTCTTTATTAATTATTTTCTTTTTCTCTCCTCAGCTCATCATAAAGACATACCAACAGCAGAAATTTATCCGGTAAGTCTGAATAATGTATTTATTTGTTTTATTCTTATATCTAATTTTGTTTATTTTCTATCTCTGTTAGTACTGCCAACATTTCTATGTACCTGATTGAATGGCTTGTCTTTGAAAACCGGTTTTCTTTGGTAAGTAATAAAGCCAAACTTTATTCCATGATCTTTACTAATGCGTTTTATTAAACCTTTCAGAACAACAGTCAATGTGCACTATGCCTGGTTCTGACGAAAGTACTGGTAAGTAACCATATTATTTAAATTAAAGAAAAATAAATATTTATATAATCTAATATAATTGAATAATTTTTTAGCCTTCTCTTACTAGTGAAATACCGTAAACATGCATTTCTTTTTAGGATTCTATCATATTGGAAGTATTTATATATTATAATATATGAAAGGGTTTGTTATTATATTAATTATGTAGTAGCTTATATATTAGATTAGACTATATATTGTCAAGCCGTACATATTATAAGCAAGAAGCTTTTTTTTTAAATAAAAACAATTTTTCCAAAACAATCCCTATAAAAATATTTGAAATGAAGTGCAAGAAGTATTGCAGTAGTATGACATGTGTGAATCCTATAGTTTAGCCGTGCATAATTGTCCAATAAAAGTATTTAGATTCGGAAGACAGTATATATAAATCCTGTTTCTTCTGTTAAATGATCCAATAGAATATCATTATTTCAGTAGACAGTTTTCTCTGTAAAGTAATCCAATAGAATTCTACTATTTCAGTAGACAGTTTTCTATCAAAAATAGATTTTTTATTGGAATCTCTGTTTCAAATCAAGTTTAATTTAATGTAACATCCAAAAAAAAAAGATGCCATAATTTGATTATTCTCTCTGCGATTAAATAGTTTAAAAGAACCTTACATCTCTATATGGATCATTATAAGTTCAGAAGTTATATGGACAACTCACAGGTAACATAACATATTGCGAACGGAATCTATAAATGCCAAATTCCAGAATTTAATTATTCTGTCACTCAGAATTTCCCATACTATCGCATATGTGTAGAAATCTAATTCCCCAGTGTTGACTTCGGTTGGCAGGAAACTTTTGAGACTGAGGAGGTTTGTGACTGCTGGGTTTCCGGCCAAGGTACAGGTCCATTCCATATTGGCATGGTTGACAAAGACATCTGTCACAGATCGGAGTACAACTTCTCCATGCATTTTGTCAACAATCTCTTGGTTGAAATCGCACAAGGGGTCGAAAGCAATTCCAGAAAACTGGGTTTGGTCTGCAGAACCGCTGTGACTGACCATTTCACAGTGCTTGTCCATAACAAATTCGAGGGAGTTGTTGGAAGTAGGCATTTTTTTTTTGAAAATAAAAAGGGTGTTAAAATCGAGAAAGAAAGATAACTGAGAAACTTTTATTAAGACACTGGGGTATATATACCAAAAAAAATATATTTTAATAACTTAAACATTTCTACCAAGGTATAGTCTTGTCCTGTTGTCTTAATATATTTGGATGAAGAACGTGTTGAAGAATAATAAATGTTTACATATTAAGCTTCTTCACACTTTTAAGAACATTTATTTTATTAGCCAATTTACAGTGCTACCAGAGCCTTTATGGTGTCCTGTCCTCTGTCTCAAAGGAAGGGGTGGGATTTCTCCTCATGGGTTTGCTCAACCAAAAAAAAAATAAAAAAAAAAAAAAAAAAAAAAAAAATAAAAAAAAAAAGTTTTTTTTTGTATAGAGCCAAGGAAAAGCTCGAAATTCAGTTATTGAGATTTTCAGTTTTTCAGAAATTTCTGCGGTTAGATACCATTTTATTTTCAGTTATTAAGATTTTCAGTTTTTCAGTTATTGAGACTTTCATTTTTTCAGTTATTGAGACTTTCAGTTTTTCAGTTTTTCAGTTTTTCAGAAATTTCTTGCAGTAAGATATCATTTTATTTTCAGTTATTGAGACTTTCAGTTTTTCAAAAATTATTTGCAAAAAAATGGTTATGTATATTATAAAAATTTATGAATAAAAATGCTGGTTATACTATTTGGAGAATTATTTTTAAAATTGCTATTACATTTTTCTTTTTTTTATTTCTCTTTTTTTTTTCTTTTTTTTATTTCTATTTTTTTATTTCTTTTTTTTTATTTCTTTTTTTTATTTTTTCATCTCTTTTTTTTTCATCTCTTTTTTTATTTCTTTTTTTTTGTCATGAGCTTGTGCTATTTTTTGTTACTGTTTTTGTGTGTGTAATATTTGTTTTTTTTTAGTATTTTGTATCATGAGGGTTTCCAAAATTGAGATCGGGTAGTATTGTGAGCAAAGCATAATTCTTGGACCGCTTTCAGTTGTTTAACAGATTGTTGGACATTTACTTGTTTCGAGTGCATATTACAAAGAGTTGTTGAGTTTGATATTAAGAAGATCAGGATTCTGACATTGTAAAATGGTTGGAGCAGGTGCTGAATAAATATAGCATTTTTGGATTCTTTTTTGTAATGGTATTAGATGCTTGTGTAGGACCAGGTTCATAAGAAATACAATTGCTGTGGTAGTCAATCAGATTACTGGATATTTGAGATAAAAATTGGCAAGTTTTTGTGTGGTCGGTAGAGTGAATTCTACTGTTGTTTTCGAAAAAGTATAGTTGGTGAAATGCACTTAAAAGCATTATGAATATGTGTAGACTGGTTCCTATTGTACAGGTAGATGTTTGATCTTGTAGTTTCTTTGTAGGTGGAGGGTTGAATCGTCACGTTTTCTTTTTAGATTTATAGCTTTTGTTCAAAATACTATAGATTATTTAGATATTAATATCAATGACTCCGAGGTATAGGCTTTATTTATATACAGAAACATAATGTGATCTGGAAATAATAAAAAAATCCATGAGGTGTAGAGCTTTAGGCAGTGTTTTCATTGTCAGAGTAATATTTAGTTGTTGAAGTGAGCATGAGAATGAGATTTATTACTGATTTAAGAAGAGAAATAAACAGTTTTGGTATATAAACACCAAATGGAAAGAGAGAGAATTATGATATCTCTTTTAAAAAAGAATGTTTATAATAAATTTATGGCTGCGGATAATATATTGTTTTATTTATTTTTTATCTCCTTGAGTTCAATTTGTACTACTTTATTTAGTGGACCTTGGCATATTATTTTTTGATATAAAAAGCTGAAAATATAATGACTAATACTATTTAACAACAACTCAATCTTCTTTACATCTATTATTGCTGCTTCAACTTGTGTTCTGATTTTTATCTTGCATCTTAAGTAATTACTATTTAATTATAACTGCTATGTGCTAGATATAACTATATTTATATAAAATATGTCACTTTAACATATCTTTCTATTTCTTTATTTTTTCACCTTTTATTATCAGAAAACCCTACAATGTTACACAAAAAACTTGAAGAATATAACAGTGCCTTTGAAAAAATCATGGAAGAGCTTGAAGAGCCTGAAATGCCAGAAGATCCAAAAAGTTCTGCCCCATCAACAACAGACAAAACCCCCAAAAAAAGTAGAGGGCAATATCAAAAGCCTACGGATAAAGATATAAAAAAGCTTCTTTATCTCTACTTCATAAGGGGATTAACTATCAAAAAAGCCAGCAAGATAGTAAATATGAAACAAACAACTGCTGGTGGCTATATTTTGAAGTGGAGAAAGTCTCCAGTTGTTTTTTTCATTAAAAACAACAAGGAGGCTACAAGTGACAAAAAAATGAATCTTTTATTTAAAACTTACTCTGCAATAAAGAAAGAATACAAATAATATCATTGCATTTTCAATTTTAACATAATTATTATAATGAGATACTTGCTTTATTATCTTATAACTGCAGTAAGGTATTTAACTTTAACAAAGTAATCTGGAGAAAAGTTTGCATATTCTGTTAGTTCTCTCTATAGATATTTTCTATGATGTATCTTTGTAGAAAGATCTACATATATTGAAGTGCTATTACATTAGGCGTTTGGCACTTATATAAAAAAATATGGCAGTTATATAAAAAAAATACAACATTTACAAAAAAAAATACTACGGTTATATAAAAAAAATTCGACATTTACAAAAAAAAATACGACGTTTACAAAAAAAAATACTACGGTTATATAAAAAAAATTGTATGGCACAAAGATAAAAAAATTGAGTGCCATGTACCCTTCCGCCAATAGTAAAAGGGGGGGAGCAAATTCAGATGGCAATGGGAGCAAATTCAGTTGGCAATAGACGCAAATTCAATTTCTATGGAAGCCAATCAGATGTCACTGGGTTCTAATTAGATGGAAACGGATACTAATTAGATGGAAATGGGCACCAATTGAATGAATAAAACCAGTAGTAAGAGCTGACTTTTTAGGATAAAAAATCTTGACTTTGCTGATTGGTCTTTCATATATGTTTCAGATATTTAAGATGGTGAATATACTTGTATAAGATATTACTGGATAACAGGCATCTAAGACATATTATCGTAGCTATTTTTTTTAGTAAGAAATTAATTATCATTTTGTATAAATAGTCAAGAAATATATTTAATAAAAAACATCCTAATTCTTATCTAAAAAACTATTCTTAAAACTTGTCAATCCCCAGTGGTATTGATTCTGCGACTTAGCTACAAGTGCCAGAAAAGAAATATCAGATCGAGACTTGACAGACCAACCCAGATTGGGAACGAAACAAGCAAGACTGTGCTGAATTAGCAAAAGTGAAGAGAGTGGGATTCGAACCCACGCCTCCGAAGAGATCACGGCCTTAACGTGACGCCTTAGACCAACTCGGCCATCTCTCCCATGTGCGATTTGAGACGTAGTAGTGTAAAATGTTCAAAAGGCAATAAAGTAACGGTTGTCCTGCAGTGCGGTGATGTTGCAGAATTCTTTGTAATTCTAAAAAAAGTATATTCTATTACTGGTTTTATCCATTCAATTGGCGCCCATTTCCATCTAATTAGCATCCGTTTCCATCTAATTAGAACCCATTGACATCTGATTGGCTTCCATAGAAATTGAATTTGTGTCCATTGCCAACTGAATTTGCTCCCATTGCCATCTGAATTTGCTCCCCCCCTTTTACTATTGGCGGAAGGGTACATGGCACTCAATTTTTTTATCTTTGTGCCATACAATTTTTTTTATATAACCGTAGTATTTTTTTTTGTAAACGTCATATTTTTTTTTGTAAACGTCGTACTTTTTTTTTGTAAACGTCGTATTTTTTTTTGTAAACGTCAAATTTTTTTTATATAACCGTAGTATTTTTTTTTGTAAATGTTGTATTTTTTTTATATAACCGTAGTATTTTTTTTGTAAATGTTGTATTTTTTTTATATAACTGCCGTATTTTTTTATATAAGTGCCAAACGCCTAATGTAATAGCACTTCAATATATATAGATCTTTCTACAAAGATACGTCATAGAAAATATCTATAGAGAGAACTAACAGAATATGCAAACTTTTCTCCAGATTACTTTGTTAAAGTTAAATACCTTACTGCAGTTATAAGATAATAAAGCAAGTATCTCATTATAATAATTATGTTAAAATTGAAAATGCAATGATATTATTTGTATGCTTTCTTTATTGCAGAGTAAGTTTCGAATAAAAGATTCATTTTTTTGTCACTTGTAGCCTCCTTGTTGTTTTTAATGAAAAAAACAACTGGAGACTTTCTCCACTTCAAAATATAGCCACCAGCAGTTGTTTGTTTCATATTTACTATCTTGCTGGCTTTTTTGATAGTTAATCCCCTTATGAAGTAGAGATAAAGAAGCTTTTTTATATCTTTATCCGTAGGCTTTTGATATTGCCCTCTACTTTTTTTGGGGGTTTTGTCTGTTGTTGATGGGGCAGAACTTTTTGGATCTTCTGGCATTTCAGGCTCTTCAAGCTCTTCCATGATTTTTTCAAAGGCACTGTTATATTCTTCAAGTTTTTTGTGTAACATTGTAGGGTTTTCTGATAATAAAAGGTGAAAAAATAAAGAAATAGGAAGATATGTTAAAGTGACATATTTTATATAAATATAGTTATATCTAGCACATAGCAGTTATAATTAAATAATAATTACTTAAGATGCAAGATAAAAATCAGAACACAAGTTGAAGCAGCAATAATAGATGTTGTGGTGATCCAGACACTTGGTTGTTGGATTTATTACATCTAAGAACATATTCCTATTATTATAGTAAAACAGCTATCATTACAAGAACAAATGAATAATTTATTTATTTTACTTATGGTAAATCAATAAGACCAATAATTAATTACAGTAAGTACTGTAATTATGACAGCTCAGTAAGCACTGAGTTAATATGAGGACACTGCAATTAGATTAAATTATAAACATAGCAGTACCAGCTCTCTAATATCTAAATGAACTCAGACTTAAGAAATTAAGATGTGACTGACAAAGCAGATCGTGTTTTGATATAAAAAGGACAACTTTGTATTCTTTAATAAAGACAACCTATATACAGTCTCAAAGTATTCTTACATACGTCTCAATCTTTTTACTGTTGATTTTATTCTATAAAACTTCACATTTTTTACTTTGAATTCTATAATGTCTTCCCAACACTCTGCTGCCAACTCTCTTCCTCGTGAAAAACAAAGCCCTCTTACTGAAGTTAGTATTCCCTCTCCTGTTCTGAATGAACAGACACATCTTACCGAAATTGGTGACATTTCTCCTCTCCTTGGATCCACCGCTCTTTCCATCGATGGTGATATTGAAATGATATACACCAGTCTTGATTCCTTGCCACCTCTTTCAGTTGTTGGTTCTGTCCCTCCTACTCCTGTGCCTACCGTCCCATCAGCCGTTAATAGCAACACTAGTAGTTCCATCACTTTGGAAATGTTGTTAGCTTCTGCAAAGGAAGACCTTAGCATAAAGAAGAACAACTTTTATGTGGCTTATGCTAACTATGTGGCTCTTTCGAAGGTCAACCCCATGTCAGACGCGGCCAGACATGCTTCTTCCATTAAGAAGGAAGCTCAAGAATTGTTTGAGGATGCCCAGAAGACCCTCAAGGTGCTTGAAAAAGCCAACGCCCCTCCTGCTATTCTTGAAGACAAGAAGAGCATGGTAGTCCCTAGCAACTTACCTTTCTTGCAGCTCTGCACGGAAACCAGGGTGAAGCAAAATCGTGACGTGTTTGACTGTGTACAATTTTTGCCAAGAATTCACTATGGTTTTAGAGTCTCATTCCCTGTCCTTGGACTCATGCTAGGAGCGTCTGCTTCCCATATGCCTGAACAAGGAGGAAAGATCCTGGTTTGAAGACAAACTAAAGGGAAAGGCGTACAAGTGGAAGAAGACAGAAGGGATTTTGCTGGATCACTATGATACTCCTTTCAGAAGATTTCTGAACATGGGTCGCGTGTGGAAAATGATGCAGAAGAAAGGTGAGTCAGTTCGTGCGTTTGGAGCTAAATTTCAAACAGCTAGAAGACAAGCGTCCTTGGAGGATGGTATCCAGATGGTTCTTTGTTTCTGGTGGAACTTGCGCCCGGAAGTCCGGGAAGCAAGCCTGATCCCATTGTCGGCCAACTATGGCACCAAACTGCCCTCCAAAGTGGAGGATATAATCTCGTTAGTCAGTGTAGCCACTAGCGATTCCACGGCCCTACTCAACCAACCTGCGGAGTCTGGCACCCCTGCCAAATGGAAGTCATTTGCCGATGCCCATAGCATCTCCTCTTCAATAAGCCACAAGGGAAAGAAGAGAGCTATTGCCAGGGACAATGATCCTAAGCACGCCAAGAAGTCTTGGAATTTTAAGAAGGCAATCAAAGATAATGTTTGCTTTTCTTGCAAAGGTGCTTGGGAGAAGGGTCACACCTGTCCTGAAAGGGATAATTACTTGACAAAGGTGTCAAGAATGGCTGTGCGCTCACCTGCTGATAGATCAGTAGCTTCCTCCCCTGCTTGTGGTGGTTTCCCCCCTTCTCGTGATAGTCATTTCTCTGTTTGTGACAACTCTTCCCCTGTTGGTAGTTCCTCAACGTCGTGGTCGATGGACCAAGATAACACAAGTGCTTTGGCCAAGATGGCCTTGAATTGTAAGGACAATCATAAAGACATGGTCATTAAAAAAGATTTTAAGAACGTGAGCACTAATATTACCTTCCCCATTCTGGCAAATAATTCTATTAGAACCATCGCCTTGTTGGACTGTGGCGCTACATTCAGTTCTGTGGATAAGAATTTTTGTTTACAGAATAAAATATCTATTAATTATGTAAATCACATCAACAAAGATTTAGTGAACAATTCCAATGTTCATAAGTATTTTATTTGTTTGGCTGATAGCAATACACATATTAAAAGAATTGGCACTTGTGTGATCAGTATAACTTGTAATAGTAAGACTATTCAGAGAGAATTTGAAGTGATGAACTTAACTAATAGTTATGAGTATGATTTCAGTATTGGTACTGATTATATGTCCACTCTGGGTATTGGTATTTATGGTTTACCTTTATCATATGATGATGCTAATTCAAGTAAGGAACGTAGAGAAGCCGATAGACGCTTCAATAATAAGAGTGATCTTCTTGAATCCATTGAGAGAGAAAATGAACAAAAGGAAAATAATCCGGCTGTAGGTCTCAAACAGTTTGAGGATGCTATGGATTATATTCGTCCGTTCATTAAAGACAATCAAGATATTCCTAAGGGTTCGTTTTGTACTATACCTGAAAGTGTTGTATGTTTGGACACTCCAGAAAATGCTACGGCGTTCAGAAGCCCTTATCCCATTCCTTACAAGATGCAAGATGTAGTGGATGAACAGGTGAAAGAATGGCTGGACAATGGTATAATTGAAAGAGCGTCTGCAAACACACAATGGAATACGCCTTTGACTGTTGTCAAGAAGACGAATGGTAAAGGAGAAATTACTGGATATTGCGTTTGTCATGATCCCAGATTAATTAATTGCCTATTGAAGTCAATTGATCGTATGCCTTTGCCATTGATTGGTGAATTGTTTGAAGATTTAAAGGGTGTGAATATTTATTCCACTCTGGATTTGAAATCTGCGTTTAATTCTTTGAGGTTGAACCCAAAGGACACACACAAACTTAGTTTCACATGGCGTGGTGTACAGTACAAACCTATTGGTACAGTGTTTGGTATTAAGCATGTCAGTTCACAATTTCAAAAAACTATGAGTATAGCTTTGAAAGGACTATCTTTTGTACGGTTTTTTGTGGATGACATTGTTTGCGCAAGCAAAACGTTCGAGGAACACAAGAAACACTTGAAGCAAGTAATTGAGAGATTAACAAGGGTCAATTTGAAGTTGAATCCGAAAAAATGTCATTTCTTTCAGAAAGAAATTTATTTGCTTGGTTTTCATATTTCACCTGAAGGAATTACAATGGACCGCAGAAAACTTGTTAATGTTCTTGAATTTCCTCAACCAAAAACGGGTAAAGATATCCAAAGTTATTGTGGGTTGATCAACTATTTTACAACCTTGATTCTGAATGTATCTTCCATTATGTCGCCATTAGATTCATTGAGAAATGAAAAGTCGATTACCCATTTATGGACAGATAAGCATCAAACTGCATTTAATAACTTGAAAAAAGCACTTTTGAGTGATCTGGTGTTGTCATACCCAGATATGAACTCTCCTTTTAGTATCAGCTGTGATGCATCTCTTACTGGTATCGGTGCAGTGTTGTATCAAGTCAAGGATGGCAAGAAAAAATATATTTCTTTCGTGGCCAAGAGCTTATCCCAAAGTGAAAGAAAATATTCTGCGACCAAAAGAGAATTACTAGCGTTAGTATTTGCACTCAAGCGTTTTCACAAGTATGTCTATGGTTCTCACTTTACCTTGTACATGGATCACAAGGCATTGACATATCTTCACACCCAACGTGTTGCGAATCTGATGATGATTGCATGGATGGACACGATTTTACAGTATGACTTTAAGATCGTTCATTTGCCTGGTGTTTCGAATGTGCTCCCTGATGTGTTGTCACGTTTGTCTGAAGAAACTGAAACATTATCAAATGAACTGGGTGGGGATAGTGTGGTTAGATCCATCATGAGAAATAGTGCTGTCACTATGGAACTGCTACCAGACATCTTGAGTGGTGAGTACTTTACTCCTCCCACAGAAAATGAAAGGAATAAGTTATTAGTTGAAGAACATTTGAAAGGTCATTTTGGTGTAGAAGCTATACTACATGCCTTAAAGAGAAAAGGTATTTATTGGACCAACTTGAAGAGTCAAGCAAGTGATCTTATACAATCGTGTATACAGTGTCAACGTCACAATATCACAAGAAAAGGATATAACCCTTTAAGACCAGTGACCGCAACACTTCCTGGTGACAGTTGGGGAATAGACCTGGCTGGGCCATTTACAACGTCGACTAGAGGAAATGAGTACTTGTTGGTGATGATAGACATTGCAAGCAAATTTTACGTATTGCGTGCCATACCTGATAAAAGGGCATCTACGATTGCGTTACAAGTACTGGATGTCATTAGTACATGGGGTCCGATGAGAAAGTTGCAGAGTGATTGTGGACGGGAGTTTGTGAACTCGCTGATGACATGTATAAAAGAGAATGTTGGTTTTGAACATGCGTTGATTTCGCAGTACCATCCTAGAGCTAATGGTGCAAGTGAAAGAGCTGTCCAGTCGGCAGTGAACACCATTAAAAAACAAATAGTTGGTAATGTTGCTGATTGGGATCAGAAGGTACCATCCGCACAGTTGTTTTTGAATAGCAAATATAATGCTAGGACTAAGAGTACGCCATTCTCATTAATGTTTGGAAGGAATCCAAATGACTTCGTCGATTTTAGTAAAGAGAAGGATAGTGCAACTGCTGAACAGATTCAGAAAGAATTGCAAGAAAAAATTAAAAGAATGACTGAGATAGTCTACCCTGCCGTGTTTGAACACGTAAAGCATGTCACACAAAAGCAAAAGGAACGCTTTGACACGAGTCACAAAATGATAGATCTGGTTCCAGGAACTATACAGTGGTCCCTCGATAATTTCACGCCCCTTTAATTTCACGCTTCGATAATTTCAAGGCTCTGAAGACCCAACTCGAAAAATAGGGCTTAACTTTCACGATTCTCGTTAATTTCACTTTCACGAAATTTTTTGGCCTTGAATCCTTAAAGAAAAAAAATTAGCCAATCAGACGAGAGCAATATAGTTACAGCTTGGTTTAAATTTTTTTAATTCTAGCTTTTCATGATTTTGTAATTGACATCAATGTCAAGTGCGTTAAGTTTTCATGCCAAACACTGGGTTATCAAGTTGTCATCTAGCTTACTTTTTTTAAAATTTTTTTTTCATTTTTTTTTTCAGAAATAAAATAAAGCTATATGTGCTATATTTTGATTAAGTTTCATTTATTAATTGTTTAGTAAAGATTATTCACTTGAAAAATATAAATATAATTCTAATTTGTTTGTTATAAAAGTTTTTATTGTAGATTTTATTATTTCTATCTGTCATTACTATTTATTGTTATTTGCAATTGTTACTATTTACAAACATATTACGAAATCAAGCTTTGACTGTACTTGGCTGCTAACTTTTTTTTTCTATTTTTAAATGAAGAAAAATATATTTCTTATAGAAAATTGTTTTTATTTTATTTGAAAAAGAATAAATTTTAAAAAGACTTAAAGAAGCTGGTTACTTTAGTTTGCTTTGAGTTCGCGGTTTTCTGGAACTTGTTTCTAAGGCCTTCAACCTTACTGACGAAGTCTCTGTCAATATCCTCGTCTTCCAAGATATCCAAAAGCGTGCAAACACACTCAAACTTTTCCGAAGCAGAATAAGTTCTCTTGAAAGGAACTGCTGATTCCACTTCAGCAATTTCTTCATTGCTGTTGTTGTTGGCTGCATTGTCGTCTGCGTCATACTCTTTCATGACAATGTCAGCGATCTCATTCTCATTGATCACTCTATGAGTGCATTGTCTCTCATAGAGTGGATCTGATTCGCTGGTCGGACAATCTTCAAGAGACAGAAGATCTGATCCGGCAATCTTGTCTAGGGTTTCTTCCAAGCCCTCGACCAGAACCTTTTCAGCCAGACTTTGCTGAATCATAGCCTGGTTTACATCTATAAATTATATTTAGAATATTAAGAAAGTGGAATTGAAAGATTATAGTACTATTATAACCAATAAATTGTTTTACTAATACCTTCACTATCTTTGTCTTCAATGAAGTGAAAGATTGTTGCATTCCAGCAGTTCTCAATAGTCTTTGCTGAGACAGATTCCCAAGCCTCTCTTATCCATTTCATGGCCCACAATTGATCAATTTCAAAGATTTTATCAATGGCCCCAATCTTATTTTGTTGGTCATTTTGAATCATGCCAATATACTGATATGCCTTGGCATACTGTTTACGCTTGAAATAAGCCTTAAAAGCCCAAATGATACCACCATCCAATGGCTGAAGATGGGACGTGGTGTTTGGAGGCAGAAAAAGAAGCTCAACATTTATAGGCGCATCATCTACTATATGGCCAGAGAAATTATTAAGGATCAAAAGCACTTTGCAGTTTTGCGCTTTCATTGAACGATCAAAGCGATGGAGGAAAACATAGAAGATTGATCGTGTCATCCAGTCATTACTGTTGTAATGATACATAGAAAATCCATGATCTACTGCCTCTTGTTTTTTGTTGTTTTTGTTAAAACAGTTTGGTCTTCTTGCATGACCAATCATCAATATGTCAGACCACTTGTCTGTTCCATCGGCATTGCACAAAAGGCCTACTGTAAGCCGCTTCTTATTTTCCTTCCAACCAGAAAATTTCTGGCAGGAAATCGTTGTTCTTGGTGGGGCGGCATAGAAAAGTACTGTTTCATCAAAGTTATAGATGTCACAAGCACTATAAGCCTCTATCTTCTCTTTGATAGCAGCCTTGTCAATCTGAAGCGACTCTATGTCTGTTGAACCAGCCTCACCATGAATTCGATTCATCTTGATATAATGACGCTTTCCAAACTTCTCCATCCAGCCTTGAGAAGCATTAAAATCTTTAACGCCTATTCTTTCAGCAACAATAGTAGCTTTAGTCTTAATCAATTCCCAAGTGATAGGAATCTGATTATTTTCAGCAATGTTGATCCAAAGAATCACTGCTTCTTCGATTTGCTATAGTTATGTGACAATATAATAAGATTAATTTTATTTTTTATATAGAGCAAAAATGCATAATGTTGAGATATATTACATACAGGTCATTTTCTCTTTCTAACGCGCTTTCTGTTTTTTACGTCGGCTTGCATTATCAAGCCCTGGTCTCCTCTCTTCAAAATCTTCGAGATTATAGAAGCATCAGGAGCTTTCTGAAGGCCAAAGGTTTTCTTTGCCCAGTCAGCCAATTGAGGGTTACTCATAGACAGCTTTTTCTTTTTCATATCGCAAATCTCAAGATGATTTGCAATATTAAGCAAAACGTTTTTTTTGGTCATATTTATTGTTTAGTTCTGGATTTGATAGGTTTCATTAAAGTATCAAAAAAATTGAAAATGATATTAGATAAGCATTATATAATAAGCTAAAAGCATACCGAGAAGCTGTTATTATTTGATTGAATAAGAATTTGAAACAATAATTGGTTACGAGACAGAGGGGGTAGAAAACAGTAATGCAGCCAGGGGTTATATTTAACTAGAATGAATTTAAACAGAGGATTGAATCATATCGAATCATTACTTGATATATTTTTTTTCTATTAAAGAATAATGTAAACTCCGCCCATAGTTGGCGGAAAATATATACTCCGAACTCGTTAATTTCACTCGTCGATAATTTCAAGGCATCTGGCCTTCCCTAGGCCTTGAAATTATCGAGGGACTACTGTAAATTGTCTTTATATGGCAAAATTTTTTAAAAAATTATTACTTAGTAAGAATTTGAACTTTTATTAGAAGAGATATATTTAATTATTGTTGGAACGGCTTTTTGATAGTTTAAGATTAAATGTTTTTCCATGCCAAGCTTTTACATAGTTGCTATTTATATAACCTATCTTCCCACACTAAAAATGCCAAGACTTTTCACGTTAGGTGCATTCAGACTAACCAAAAAAGGAAATTTTTTGCGAAAAAAGCAATTTTTTGTCATTTTTTCCCACAAATTCAATGGTATTGTTTACGTAGATCATTTATGCGAGATTATGCATGATTATGCACGTTATATAACAAGTATAGCCAAAAGTTACCAATTTTTTTCAGCAATGCAATTGTATTGTTTACATTATGCGAATATGCATAATGACATATATTACACAAACTTTATTTTTTATATTTTTATATATGTTTAAATTCTCTTATATGTGCCTATATATAATTATGCAAGATTATGCAAGATTATGTAAGCTGATAAAAACTAATTGACACTATATATAAGCTAATTATAGCTGATTTTATATATATATAAGCTATTGATAGTTGATCTAGGATAAATATAAGCTGTTGACCACCGATCTGGCATATATATAAGTTGTTGATTGCCGATCTGGCATATATATAAGCTGTTGATTGCCGATCTGGCATATATATAAGCTGTTGACTACCAATCTGGCATATATATAAGCTGTTGATCGCCGATTTGGCATATATATAAGCTGTTGATTGCCAATCTGACATATATATAAGCTGTTGACTACCAATCTGGCCTATATATAAGTTGTTGACTACCGATCTGGCATATATATAAGCTGTTAATTGCCAATCTGGCATATATATAAGCTGTTGATCGCCAATCTGGCATATATATAAGCTGTTGATTGCCAATCTGATATATATATAAGCTGTTGACTACCAATCTGGCCTATATATAAGCTGTTGACTACTGATCTGGCATATATATAAGCTGTTGATTGCCAATCTGGCATACATATAAGCTGTTGATCGCTAATCTGGCATACATATAAGCTGTTGATTGCCAATCTGGCATATATATAAGCTGTTGACTGTCAATCTGGCATATATATAAGCTGTTGACTGTCAATCTGGCATATATATAAGCTGTTAACTGCCAATCTAGCATATATATAAGCTGTTAACAGCTGATCTAGTATATATATAAGCTAATAACCACTAATTTAATATATATATATAAGCTATTGACCACCAATCTGGTATATATATAAGTAGATGACAGCTGATCTGATATATATATAAGTGGATGACAGCCGGTCTAATATATATATAAGTGGATGACAGCTGATCTGATATATATATAAATGGATGACAGCCAGTCTGCTATATATATAAGTAGATGATAGCCAATCTGATATATATATAAGTGGATGACAGTCAGTCTGCTATATATATAAGTGGATGACAGCTGATCTGCTATATATATAAGTAAATGACAGCTGATCTGATATATATATATAAGCTGATTATAGCTGATCTGCTATATATATAAGTAGATGACAGCCAGTCAGATATATATATAAGTAAATGACAGCTGATCTGATATATATATATAAGCTGATTATAGCTGATCTGCTATATATATATATGTGAATGACAGCCAATCTGCTATATATATAAGTAGATGACAGCCGGTCTGATATATATATAAGTAAATGACAGCTGATCTGATATATATATATAAGCTGATTATAGCTGATCTCACTAGAAAAACATACGGGAATTACCATGTACAAAGTTAAATTATAACAATAGAAAATCTGGGGTATTTTTTCATCTCAGCTTTTTTTGTGTGTTCAAGATGAAAACACTGTTTTCCGGTTTTCTATTGGCTTGGATACAACAGGCGAAAATATTATTTATTATTATTATTATAAAGACATAACATTTCATTATAAAGACATAGTAAATTTAGTAAACGTTGTACTTGTTTCCTTTTTCTCTTAACACTTCAAAGTAAAAATAAATAAACATTATGTCCACAATTCCTGAACTCTACAACGAAAAGTGCCATTGTGCTGGATGTAGTCAGAACAATCTCGGCTATAGTTTTGTTGCCAGAAGAACTGCTCAACGTCATAACAAAAGGGCAAGACTAAATGCCATAAGATGTGAAAGGGGTACAATATTTGAATTTATTTAATTGTATTGTAATCCATGAAATAACGTGTTGTAATAGACATGTCTACCCAAAGAAATATGATGGAGGTCGATGATGAACGTAAGGTTTATTTAATTCAGATACCGTTAGATATTAACCAAGTGTTATATTCTAAATGTAGCTATCTTAACCCATCAACCCGGAGCCCTGGAAGAATCGTACACTCAGACAAACTCACCTGTTTGGGAAGGAGCTTCAATGTCTGACACTGAAGACGTTTCCGTTACTAATGACGCGATCAGCAATGGCGACAATGATGACAGTGGAAGCAACAGCAATGAAATCAGTGAAGACGAAAGCGAAGACGATGTTATTGAGCTCGACGACAATGAATTGAATAGTGAAGGTCAGTTAGTGTTAAAAATTTTTTAAAAAAAAAAGCGTTAATTTTTTTTTATAATAGACCCTTTTGCCACCCCCGATATGCCCCAGAACCCAGTGCACAGGTTCATTGCTACTTTTGTGGTGATGTTCGCTTCCCGCTATGTGGTTGACAAGGGCGCCGTTGTCTTGATCGAGTTCATCAACAAGCTTTTGACAATTTACGAGCAGGATTTCCAACTGCCCTTTGA